TTCCTCTTTATTGTATTAATATTATATTCTTGGTTCTCTCGGTAAAGTCACGTAGAAGGGAAGCAATAAAATAATACAAATATAAAACAATAACATTCTCACGACGTTTCTTTCAACGTGGCTTTACCGAAAGAACCAAGAATATTAATCTTTGCAGTCACGAAAGCTTTAAATAAAATTTTATTAATATTGTGAATGTTTGTTCTTTGTGTATTATTTCTGCCTTTACCTCCGACGCGTTCTGTTCCATTGTTACTTATTAACTATCACTTTGATGTTGTTTTAGCTCTGTACTAATGCACCACGCATCTCCATTGCAAGTAAACCGAGTAACTGGCTAAACTGGATTTTCTAACAATAAACATTGTTAATATACAGTACATGAAAAACAACACGTATAAACAAATGCCCAAAAGGAACTAGGAAATAAGAAACGCACATGCGTTTAAACCGCAAGCATTGATTGAATCAGAATCTATAAAACTCTTTTTTTTCTCACAAACGTCCAGTAGGGACCGGTCAGAAAGTTACAACAATGGCAAGTGCATTCATGTAAATCAATTCATCCTAGAAAGTCCCATCACAAGGGAGAAACGCAAATACATGTTTTTACTGAAACGGCTGTACGCCATATGGACCTGAAAACTCGATTTTCCTGTAAATAATACGGCTAAATCGTATGGGTTGACAAGTATGGAATCCGATGAGCTATGAAGCTATTTTTCTCCCAGATTTACAGCAGGGGCGGGTAAGAAAGTTACAACATTGGCAAGTGACACTTTACACCATTGGAACCTCCTTTGCCAGTAGCAAAATATATTTGTTTTTTTTACCCTTTTATCTGGCAACAAAGCTGTCTCGGGTGTGGACCAATCAATTTCCAGGACAGTACATACATTATCAGAGTTGTATTTTTTGTTTGCATTCCGACCGCAGGTATTATGGTCAATGCAAACATGACTCCTTGTAAAAAAGGTGTCAGTTTTATTGCCAGATAAAAGGGTAAAAAAACAATTATCACAAGTGATACTTTGCGAGCAGCTTCAGCGCCGGAGCTATAGGGGAGTGTGAGCTCTGACAGAGTTGATCATCCCAAAAACCCACGACTACAACCGCGAAGTCCACGCGAAGCCCCGCAATGGAATGCATTTTTTTTAGAAAAACACTCCACGTGCTTCCAACCCCATGGGATGTCCCAAAAATAACGCGGTGACGTCACCCATCACGGCGGGGGGCGGGGCCGCGACTCAGGCGCGAGCGCCCCTCGCGGCCAGATTGGTTCGCGCTCGAGCCACGTGACCGGACTTGGTTCCCCCCCCACCCGCTACCACCCGCTTCGACCACGCCCACCGCCCCCGCCAAACCGCCTCTCGCCAATGACGGGCGGGTGGGGGTGGGGAACGTCCTCTCGCGAGACTTGGCCACCCAAAGGGCGGAGGCCATCTTACTACGGGATAGTGAAATGCTTTGAGTTATTCAAGGAGGGGGGGTAACGTCCTCTCGCGAGACTTGGCCGCCCAAAGGGCGGAAGCCATCTTACTACGGGATAATGAAATGCTTTGAGTTATTCAAGGGTGGGGTGGACGGGGGTAACGTCCTCTCGCGAGACTTGGCCGCCCATAGGGCGGAGGCCATCTTACTACGGGACAATGAAATGCTTCGAGTTATTCAAGGGTGGGGTGGACGGGGGGTAACGTCCTCTCGCGAGACTTGGCCGCCCAAAGGGCGGAGGCCATCTTACTACGGGACAATGACATGCTTCGAGTTATTCAAGGGTGGTGGGCGGAGGCGAATGCTCCATCCCAGTCATTCATCAACGCATTAAGTCGCCCAACGTGCCACCACTCGTGTTGAATTGAACATTCGCATACACTGCTCTCGCTTGCTTATGGCACCGGCGCCTCCGAGTGATTTGTTTGATCCGCCACCGAAGCACGGGTGGGCTAGGAGAGGTCGGGGGGGGGGGGGGGTCCGATCACTGTGGGGGAGGGAGGGAGGGGGGTGGTGTTGGCATTTCTTTGATGTTCGCGGTTCTCGCTTGGAACGTCAAACGACAAATGTTTCCGATGGATACTCTTTGGTTCTTTCGGTAAATTCACGTAGGTATAAATTAAATAAATCAGTGATTTTTTTTTATTTCTATTAAATGACGTCACGCGATTTTGGACGATTTTTGACCCCCCCTCCTTCGTTACACGGCGTCACAAAAGTCAGACCCCCCCCCCTCAAATATGACGTCACAAAGCTCTGCCCCCCCCCCTCAAAAAATAAAACATGCTTCAAATCGCTTTAAACTATTGTCATTGTAGTGTGTATTTAATGTGGCGCTGCACTCTGATGTTGTAGGAGAAAACATTTATTAAAAAGTCAATTTAATTAAGTAGAATGTGTTGTCTGTATTTATTTCAAGGTGTGCATTTTGATGTGACGTCACATTTCTCACCCCCCCCCTCCTCCTCACACATCGTCACAAATATCTGACCCCCCCCCCCCTAGGGGCGTGACGTCATTTATGAGGGTGAGGTGGGTGGGTGAGGAGCGAGAGGGCCGCTCAGGGCTTTCCTGCATCGCCTTCTGCTGCCCAACCAATGCCTAGAGCCGCCATTCGCCACGAAGTGACGGTGACGTCACAAAGGCGCCTGTGACACGCCGGGTGCACTTTGAGGCCATCACGTGAAGTGTCGAAGGCTCGCTGCTGGCAGGAGGTCTCGGGACAGACCCAGCAGGTGCCATGGGTTGGCTGACTGAGATGACCGGCAGATGCACCAGCTGTACTCCTTACTCATACCTATCGACCCATACGGTTTGCCCGTATTCTTGTATCGGTAAACTGAGTTTTCAGGTAAAAAAAACAACTAAATTTTGTCTATTTGTTTGAGTTTCTCCCTTGTGATGGGACGTTGTAGGATGAACATTGAGATTTATAAGAGCACGGGGTGACCAATACGGTCTGAATTGGTTGGTAATAAGGCAGGCACTGATGAGGGGTTGACAGGTATGACTACTGTGCCAACTTGCTGTATTTTACCCGCCCGACGCTCCGCTCGTTGTTGTGAGCGTCGCTCCTTGGCCCTCCGTTGTTGCTGAAAGGCGACTGCCTCCTACTACTCAGTAGCGTCCTTTACGAGCCTTCTCCATTAAGGCCGATTTTGACACCGTTGGTACCAGTCGTCGGCAACTCCACTCAGCTCCACATGCTCCCGTACCGCATCAGCTCCATCTCTTCTCCTGACCGTGCCGTGCCCGTTTAGCCCCCTCTATGCAGCCAAACAGACGCTGCTTGGCAATGCGGTGGCTGGGCATGCGGGCTACATGACCCAACCAACGCAGCCTTGCCTGCCGGAGGAGCTCATGACCGTCACACACACTTAAGCTTATTCCGGGGTGACTTGGGTCAGATAACCTCTCTACAGGCCTTATGTATGTACTGTACGTTGAACTTCTTTCACACCGTACGTAGCCCCAACCGTGTTAATCGGAGGTGCGGGGAAAGGACAACAAACTTCTGTTCACACAAAAAGCACACACAGCGGTAAATTATCGTAGCCTGCGCTCCAACTGCGGAGGAATAGCAAAACTACATTAAACTTCTGAAGCCCTGTGGTGTATAGCAGACCTAGGCATTGTTATTTAGCTCCTGAATTTGTTGCTGCCATACGCCCAATGAAAAAAACTGAATTAAATTTAAAATAAATAGCTCAGTGGGCTTTAACCTAGTAAGATTTTTTAAAAATGCATCATATTTTTAGGAGATTAGTTTACATTTCCTACACTTTGCACTCCTGTCGTGATGTTGTATTGTTTGTTGTTTTAATGTTCTGACCTGACCCTACTGGAAACCTGTCAGGACAAAGAGCCTCACGGCTCATCGGATTCCTCCACTATCAATAAACTAGCCTTTTGCCCGTCCAAGGACGGGTGTATTTCAATAAATATGAAACTTGAAAGCGAAAAGTAGACCACGACATGATAATCATTGCATCAATGTGCAGTTTGTAAGGCCGTGGTGACACAGACCTATTTTATTAATTTAATTAAATTTTTTACCTACGTGACTTTACCAAAAAAACCTAAGAGTATGAATCCTTGCAGTCACGAAAGCTTCAAATCTAGAACAGACCTATTTCATTTAAAGGTTTTACTATCCCTTGTTCATCATGACGTCCTTTTTACTTCTATGTCTCAACAGCGTTACGGAGATCGCGTGATGACGTGAGGGTTCTGCCTTTGTAGTGAGGGTTGTGAGTTGACGCCGAGGAGGGGGGAGGAGGCGCCTCGGCCCCCCATGTGGAGTGACGTCACCCGCTAATTATTATGAATTGGGGGGGGGTGTCCATTTGGAGGACGTCACCTGCTCATGATTATTAATGAGGGGGGCTGTTCGATGTGGAGTGCCGTCACCTGCTCATGATTATTAATGAGAGGGGAGGGTGCTCCATGTGGAGTGCCGTCACCTGCTCATGATTATTAATGAGGGGGGGGGGTCCATGTGGAGTGACGTCACCTGCTCATGATTATGAATGAGGGGGGCTGGTCGACGTGGAGTGACGTCACGAGCGTTGCACACAGACATTATTGGCACATTATAGTAGGTAATAATAAAGGGGGGGGGGGGGCTGTCCATTTCGACGACGTCTCCTGCTCATGATTTCTAATGAGGGGGGGCTGTTCGATGTGGAGTGACGTCACGAGCTTTACGGATAGACATTCCTGGGTGATTGTCGTAGATTCAGTCCCAGCGAAGACGATGGGAATCGATTCCAAATCAAAACGTAACCGATCCAACCCCCTACCATCGATTCACATCGATCGATCCACCCCCCCACCCCACCACGCCCCTCCCCCACCCCCCTCCTCGCCCCCCCCGCCCCCACCACCACCGCACCCAACCACTCCCTCGCGATGACGTCACCCCTCTTACATAAGCACCGGCCGCAGAGAGGGCTCCCCCCTTAGCAAGATGGCAATGGAGACGCGAGGCGTGACGTCAGACGGCGAGAGTATGACGTCAGATGGCAAAAGTATGACGTCAGACGGCGAGAGTATGACGTCACCGACGCCGCCGCCGCCGCCTGTGCTGCTGCTGCTGCTGCCGCCGCCGGTGGCGACGACGAAGAAGACGACGACGACGATGACTGCGCGAGACGAGGAGGGCCCGGGCTGCGAGATGGCGGAGGGCGGCGCTGCGGACCTCGCGACGCAGAAGGGCGACATCGGAGCCCTGCTCAAGACGCCGCTCAAGAAAGGCGACACATGGTGTGCGATGGAGGCGGGCGGGCGGTCGGGCGGTGGTTTGTCGCTGGGCCCGTGGTTGGGGCTGAGAGGCGAGCGGGTGGTGGCGGCATGGGGGGGTTGGTTGGTTGGTTGGCGTTGCGTTTCTCCCCCGTGGGCCCCAGCTGTGAAGGAGTCGAGGCGGCCTACCCGGTGACTCGACTCGGTGTTGGCCTCCTCGGGCTTGTACACGCCGAGCCTCCTTGCTCGGCCGTCCTCCGCTAGCAGCCACCGCCGCCCGCATGGCCGGGGTTTGATTCGCCATGGAAATAGCGAATTGTTGAATAATTGGGGTTGTGGATTTTTTGTTTCTTTCAGTTCTTTTAAACGGTGTTTAAACCGTGGGCTTGTTCACTGGCACGTGAGGGAACGGCATTGGCTGTGTCGGTTTGGGGGGGGTGGGGGTGGTGGAGATTTTCATCCAGCAGTGGATTGACCGCCGCCTCCTGATGATGGTGAAGTGACGAAACGTCGGATTTTTCCCATGGCGTGTGGCCACTAGCGGGGGGGGGGGGGGAATGTTGAGGCCTCCAGCCGGTGTCTTGACAAGGCTGGCGGAGGGGATGGGGTGGTGGGGGAGGTGTTCACCCATCCTCCTCGTTCCAAGAGTGCTTGAGATGTTTTAAGATTTTTTAAAAAAATGTATAGGGAAAGAAACGAGTTTTGAGAAGGTGTTATTGATCCCATGACACTTTAATGTGATATCTTCTACCCGTAAAGGGGGGTTGGGGTTACCGGGAAACGTGTAACAGTGTCACGCTTAAAGCCTCTGAAGAATGTAGACCTTGAAAGCGCGAGTTTAATAGTATTTGTTTTATAGATATAGGAGTACCACTGCCTTTTTACCATGGAAAGTCTCCGCCCAGTCTCAAGACTTATTGTCAAGGGGGTCCTGCCACGTTTGTGACATTTGGCCATGAATTGCGTTAATGAGTGGGTTGTTCGCTTCCCCTTGTGGGAAGGAAACCCGAGTACCCGGAGAGAATCGACGACGCATACGACGGCAGATGATGGTGGTGGTTGGGTAATGATCAAAGCTCCGCACAGATAGATTTAAATAATCCTGTCTTAAGTCTTGTATTGCCATATCCTCCTGGCCCAGTGGCAGCCAAAGCCTAGGGACGCCTTATTTGGCTGCATTGTACCGGTGTTTCACGTCTATGTACAGTGAGTGACTAACTTTGGTGATAGGTTATTGCTGCCTCGTGGATTTCTTTTTTAATCTACCATCCACACTGTTGCTATCTTTTTCAGGTCACTTGTAGTTTATGAAAGCTTTTTTTTAAACAATCTATAAGACTGGAGTAACTTCCGTCTTTAGATACGTGTTCAAATCGCGACCCTATATTATACTTGGTAAGGTTTACGCATTTGGAATGCAGTGAACGTGAAAATCAACTTGTGACAACATTCCATCCAATCGCAGACCGCTCTAATCAAGAGGCGTTTGCGAAAATACTTAAATGAGTCACGAACACGAGTGAGCTGTGTTAAAAGAGAAGCCTTTTGGAAACTTTAAGTGACCAAATATAAACAATTTGCTCATGGGGCCGTTTTAAAATTCTCGTACTGTATACTGTACTTGGTGGAAAGTTGGTGATTGTATACATATTGAATAATGGGATTGATAAGGTTTATATAGTTGCATTTGCAGGGCGTTGGATACATAGGGTTTATTTTTGACAAATAAGTGGGGCCCTTCCTTGGGTTCCAATTTTATGCTGCTTTTGGCACCGGGAGATGACCGTGATACCATCCAGCACACTATCCGCCTCGCCACCCTGCGTCAAAAATAAACACTTCAACGTAAAGCTGCTTTTAAAGGACAACAGTTTTAAACAATTCGGATGTGCAAAACAATACCGTCGTGGTGTGGTGAAATGAAGGTTGATCACAGAGTACATACTCTTGCACTTGTGAAATATTTAACATTCTTTCTGGGTCATTTTCTAAAAGGATTGTTTCGTTTAACCCACGAAGGCCAGTCAAAGGTACATAATGCCTGTCTAACTTGTTCAAGTACTTTGTTGTGGCGAACTCCTAAGCTGATTTTTATATTTCATGGTGCTTGCTTGCCCTCCCATTATGACTTATCAGAACTTGTGCTCGCATAGCTTTAAACCAATACTGTAGTTTAGTTATGACATTCGGTGATGGAAGGCGCACAACTGTTAAGCAGCTGGACCCATAAATAGGAAGTCCACTTTTGTTCGTAAAGAGCAAAGTGTCAGAGATGTTGCTCTATCTTGCCATATTACGTAAACCTTGAGGCTACATTTACCAAAGGTCCATTCAGTTTGAATCGGTAACTTTATTTGATCGTTTAGAAATCCGATGCGATATGAAGTGCTTTTTCACATGTTCAGTCATAAAGTTATAACATTTAATTAGCTTTTTATGGGCACTAGTAGTATAGGATTCATCACTTACTCCTAGTAGTTACAAGTTATATCACCTAAGCCCTTTTGGCAAGTCATTGCTGGATGAAGGCCTTTAAATCACGGAAGTTGTTTGACGACACGTCACCAGCGTGGTCTTTGCGGGTTGGTGAAACATGCACCCTGCACTGATTGATGTATCACCTGAATTATTATGGACTTGCCCCTTTCCATTCATCATACGTTTTTGCTTCAAATAGTAAAAAGATATTGGACCTTATTAGCCATGTAACAATGAATTGGTCTATTAATATAATTCCTTACACTGGAGAGATTGTGCATTTATTTGCAGGTCATGTATATGTAGGGACCTTATGCCCCACAACGGCATAAAGTTATTTATTGGCCATTTCAAGTGTGACCTTGAATCCTGGCAATTTAATTGCTAGAAGAGCTTGTGTGCTTCATTAGGCTTGACTTTTTTGTGATATCTGCTGAAGGAATTTATTTTCCCGTTTTTAGGTACCTGGTTGACTGCCATTGGTTCAAACAGTGGAAGAAGCATGTGGGATTTGACAGCTGGGAGGTCTACTCTGCAGCTGACCAGAGCACCTATCCAGGCCCCATCGACAACTCTGGTCTCTTCAAAGGTAGTGTATAGTTCGACATGCCCGAGCAAGCCACGGTACAAACGTGCATATTGATCGATAATAAGGTGTCGAATCCAGCATGCAACTGTAATTATATAATATTTCAAACTCATTTCTATTTGAAGTATAAAACGGCGCAAGTGCTGCTTTGTCATGCTTTTTTTCTTTTTCCCAATGCGTGTGCTCAGTTGGCCCAGACGAGAACTTGGAGGGGCTTAAGGATAATTTGATCGATGAGCTGGATTACATTCTGGTGCCCACAGAGGCTTGGAGGAAGTTGGTGGAATGGTATGGCTATACAGCTGACCAAGAGCCCGTCGAAAGGAAGGTATTAGCAGCTCCCCAATTAATTCCACACACAAGGCCATACATTATCATTCAGAAAGAGTTGAATAGTTACATTGCATTGAACTTTTTAAAGTGCTACTGGCATGATGTCTTTAAATTACCATAAATGTCTGTGAGACTACATTTTAATTAAGAATGAATCCTTAAATAGTTTCTGAAATATGAATAAGTGTTTAAGTTATCGATTTGAATATTTATGCATTTTTTTTGTTTAATTGCTTGATTGACATTATTGGACATTCAAGTATAAGTTTTAACCACTTGCTGCATCATCTAAGTGCAGTGTTTTATCAAGTTTCATTCCTCAGAACTCTTTATCAATCTCTCCCCTTCAAACGCACATTTAGGTGCCACAATATTGGCAATCTCGGAAAGCTGCACCACTAAGAGTCTTTAGAGTTCTAAGTTTGAGGAACTGATCCAGTGGATAATGTTATAATATGTTTTCAATTGTGCGTCTTATCCCCTTGGCAGGTAATAGAATATGGTATGTTTGTCAAGCACTGCAAGGTGGAAGTGTACCTCACTGAGCTGAGGCTTTGTGACAACAGCAACCTGGATACGGTGGTGAATTGGCAGTTCAGCAAGGCGGATACCATTGGTAAGCGTATATGGAGATATTTTGGTGTTGTGAAAGAACACTTGAGATTACATTTTTTTTTAGTCATTCAAAAAGACAGTTTGTCAATGTTTAAAGTGAAGCCTCATTTAATGGACACTGTCTTACCTGCCCCTACTGGGATATCTGTGGAAATAGCTTTATAGCTCATTGGATTCCTCCAGTATAAACACATTCTGATACTGTTAAATTTCGATTTAAAGCTTTCGTAACTGCAAGGATTCATCTTCTTGGTTCTTTCGGTAAAGTCACGTAGAAGGGAAGTAATAAAATAATAAAAATAAAACATAATTGTCTGATACTGTTTGAGGGCCTAGTTGTCAACCTTTAACTTCTCACTGCTGGGCAAGGTAGGGCTAGTAAGGGATGCGCTAGTGTTTGATTAATCTGTGGAAAAAAACACAGCCTAATTTGACGCTTGCTTAACAGTCATTTGCCTGTGGCTATTTTTGTGTTTGTGCGCAGACACCATAGAGAAGGAGATGCGGAAGCTGTTTCATATCCCTGAAGAGAAAGAGACACGATTGTGGAACAAATATATGACCAACACGTACGAGCCCCTCAACAAACCCGAAAAGACCCTCCAGGATGTGGGACTCTTCCAGGGGCAGGTACAGAAGCAGCGTCTCGTTTTTGGTGTCTGTATATTTTTCAGAAATATCATTGTTGGAAGGCATGGATTTTAAACCCTCCAATATATCATTGTCAGAAGCAGTGACTAAAATGGTAAGCAACACTAGGTTATCTGATGACCCGAGTTTGACTTTTGCCAATGGCTAACATGAGTTATGATTAACATCAGAATTGGTCCTATTCACCTTCCACTCCTCCCCTCTTCACCAACCTTCACGGTCCAGCATGATGAATTATGGTCGTATGTTCCCCAAGGCCTTCATCCAGCAGTTGATTTAACAAAGGGCTGTTGATTACAATTCTTGTACATATTATATGGCAATTCAATTCTTCGTATTGATGGGACGTAATGTTTCCCTCGGGACAGGTCTGCATGGTTTTGCAACTCTTTTTTTACACCACTATCGCCCTGTTTGCAGGTACTGGTAATAGAACAGAAAAATGAAGATGGAACTTGGCCAAGACAATCGCCTACTACCAAGTATGTTAATAATGATTTAACATTCGGTTTAGGTCTTATTATTGGTTTGTTTCCCACCCACCCAGGCAAGAAAGCAACAATAACCTGCTTGTTTTGTATTTTGTTATTAATGTAGTAGTCCACAGGAATGCTGCCATTAGAAGTTGCTATTGCAGGGTAACTGGGCCACACTGCACTGTACTGCTGCAAGAAGGAACTTGTGCTGGTTTCTGTCACTTGTAAATATTTGTTTATAAGGTCCTATTGGGGTTTTATGTGGTATTTTAATTCGTATCATGCAACTTTTTGTAGTTCGTTGATAATTGCAACAGTTTTAAATATCCATTAAACAGGTGGCTAAAGAGCTGTTTTTGTCAGATGACCTTTATGACTGCAACGGAGACAAAAAAAAAAACCCAGCCTGTGGACACAATGTGGTGCAATTGGTATTTGTTCACAATTCCATCATATTTTTTTTGGTGATTGAAGTTCAAATCTTAATGGTATTGTTGAAATGGATTGTAAGTGAATACCTTTTTTGTCATATTTGCGTTGATGCTATTTAGAACTGTATGTTGTGGCTCTCGGTCAACCAAAACGTGTGATTCATTAAGGTAGTGATCTTGGCAGAATTCAAATCCGCTTATGACGTAATCGGTTTAGCACTGACATTGGCTAACCTCTCTGCCGAATAAGACTCGGCACTCCTGTTCTCAACAAAGCTATCGGGCCACCTGTGGCTGCTTCGACTTTCTTTCTGAGTGTATCTTTGCTTTGCTGTCTTACTTTCAGTTCACCTTGGTTTTGTGTTTTCCTGCCCATTTTGCTCCCCCTCCTTTCCATAGATCAGATAGTGCCGACGCAACTGAGAACGACACCCCGTCGCCAAAGCCCTCCTCTTCTCCCTCTGTGCCCACCCCCTCTATCCCACCTCCTCCTCCTCCTCCCCAGCCTACCTCTGCTCTCACGGCCAGATTCTCGTCAGCCCGAGTGTCAGTAAACCCTGCCGTGCGCGTCAGTTGACCTTGCCAAATAAAACGCATCCAGTACCCGCCGGACTGGCATCTGTTATTTTTAGCAGAACGCATGATTCATAATTAGACTGCTTTTGTTTTTGGACAGGGAATCTTGTTTTGCAGAGTTAAATTTTTAATCAAGTTTCAATACCCTAAATTTAGGACCCCTAAGTTTTTTTAAATTCTGTTCAACTTTTTACTATTTGCTTGCTTTATTGCTGAATAATTCATGCTGAATTCAGTTTATTTTTTCATTTAATATTTACAGTCTACCCATTAATCATTTCCTGTTTTTTGTATTTTCGTTATGTAACATATGGCAGCATGCAACTCATTTTTTTTTTCTCCTTAATGTACCCTGAGAAAAAAATTCAGGCTTTGAATTTACAAACCGTTTTGCCATCCCATTGTATAACCTTTACCATTCTACTAACCTCTAGCTTCCCCCTCCTGCATGAAACATGTTCTGTATTAATGCATTCGTTAAGGTATACTGTCTAGAGCAGATGTGTGTTTGTGCAACCTTGTGGCCCGTGGGTTGTTCGGAGCCCGCATTGTGGTTTTGAGTGGCTCGCGTGCAACGGGGGTACGCGTACGTTTGAACAACTCGTCGGGCTGTTTGCCGTGAACACGCGACCACGTCCACGTATGTTTGTGAAATATGGCGTCATTCCCTTGCTAATGTGGTGTTACGTTCTCGAAGTTCTCTGTCAATGTGACCCTCCTCGGCCCGCGGGGGGGAGTTGTGAGATTCTAAACCTGGCTTGTGCCCAAAAAAATGGCACACTTCTGGTTTTGTGTAAACCAGGCTTTCCTTTGTGTTTAGCAAATTATTCAAGGCCATGCCCATAGCAGTACAACACCATTTGTGTGCCATTGTCCATTGCAATGGATTAAATGCCAAATACTATTAACTGTACACACACTGGATATTTTAAAGATTTTTTTAGTAAAATCAGAAACTTGAAAATTGGCTTTGGAAAATTAAGTGTTTATCATGCGAAAACATTTTTAGGGTTGCTCCAAAGCGTTTTCACAGCATTGGCATCAAACTAATGTGCTCGAGTGATGTCATTGACATGAAAGACATGGGTGTGTGTGTCCATGTAAAAGGGAGTACGTGAGTGCATCAGTTAGGGTATCAGGAGTGGTTGCCCAGTGGTTAGTGCAACGTTATGAATGCGGAAAATGAATTTCATACCCAGTCATCTCAATTGGTACTCGGCCTCACCTAGGGTGATTTGGCTTTTAATGACCAGTAGTCAACACTAAGTCAGCATTTGGGAGACGGATGTGGTCTGGTGTGGTGCACTACCCTTTCATGTGTTTTGCCTGCCTTTTAATGGCTGTTTTGTTGACTGACTGCAATTGCCAAAACGTGTGTATACGAGAAGTATGGTATTTTGGGTGCGAGTGTTCACATTGCTATCCGCAGTAGCTAGTTTATTCTGACTACATTGCATCGGCCCAAAATCTGTAACACAAATATGAAACGCATGTCAAGTACACAATATACTGTATGTGGTATGCTTAGTGCTGGCACGTTGTTAATTTTGTTGCGACCAAATGGTGTTTCTCATAATGCCAATGTGGATTTTCAGTTCTTATTTTTCGAATGGTTTATTATGACTACATATACCAAGACTGGATCCATATGCCTGCTCTTGGCCAATTAATTTAGGTTTCTTTTGGTTTGTCATTGACCACGTCATTAATGAAACATCTTAAATTTTCGCATGTGCTGCACTATTGGATCTGAACTTTTTTTTTACTATTGGCCAAGTTATTAGACAGTCGGTTTCCAAAACAGCTTTGTTTTAACATCCAGTGGAAACTGGAGCTGAATGAAGTATATCTATGTATAGCAATTACCTGGCAAGCTCTACTTTTATTGTTCAGAGTTAAATGTAATTATTTACGTGCATCCTGCCAAGCAGAGTATTGTATTGAGAAAACCCTTTGGTAAACCTATTTATAGGGACCTACTTGATATTGTTATAAAGTGAAGTCACCTCTACACTTTTCACCATATTCATTATACTAGTTTTTCCATCTGCATATGGTCAGTTCTTTTATTACTACTATATTCTAGGTCCAGATATCCTTTTGGTTTCCTGAAATATAAACATATCTTTTATACAAATGCAAGTCGCTTGAACTTGGTGCCCTTTAACTTTTGTGGCTGAGCAAACTTGACCAGAGTTTTGTGTTGGTATTATCTTTCAAGGTTATTGCGTGTTAAAATAGATGGAATATTTTCCCCGTCTGGCACAGGCTAGTTTATTGACGTTTGGCATGGCTGCTTTTGCCATTTGCAGCTCTAGCAGCAGTAGTAGCAACAACTACAACTCGAGCTACAACTCGTACAGCGGGCGCGGTGGAACAAGCACGCCAGGCCTTTGTGGCCTCAGCAACCTGGGGAATACTTGCTTCATGAATTCTGCTTTGCAGGTAAGTGAAAGCGCACGCACATTCACAAGGGAGATTGTGATATGAACATAGGTGGAATGCAAATACGTTTATATGGAAGTGGATCTTGAGATAGGCCTGAATATATTTGACTCTTTAAAACAAACACGTGCTCATTAGTTATATTTTTTATGAATGCACTTTATTAAGTCACATTTATCTGTTAAACCTATGATTGATAACTAACGGAACTGCTGCTTTTAATACGATTTTTTTTTGCTCCGTTGAATCGTCGAACCAATGTCTGTTGCTAAAATAACAAGCCTCTGACCAAATGTCTTGTGATGCATCTCATCAGATCTCCTGAAGCTTAAGCATGTAAAATCCCTGATTGTACTTGGGACGGGCAACTACCCAGGCCCGCATGGGCCAGTGTGGTGAAATATAGTAACAATAACACCCATGATCTGTATGGCATGGGAAAAGCCTTCATCCAGCAGTGGATTGACAATGGCCTGTACATGTACAATAAAACAACTATAACTAACATTTGTAGAAATGTGCAGCTATTATAATTGTTGTATATATATATGTTTTCAGTGCTTGAGCAACACGCCACCTCTCACCACCTACTTCCTGGAGGATGCATATCTAAAGGAGCTCAACCGCGACAACCCGCTGGGCATGCGTGGTGAGATCGCCTGTGCCTACGCTGATCTTATCAAGCAGATGTGGTCTGGGAGCTACTCGTCCACCGTGCCACGCTCCTTCAAGGTCTGTCTGCCTTAATTGCGATTCGAGAGAGGCTTGTGCTGCGGTCACTCTCTTCGAAGGTGCCACTCTTTTTCTTTCAGATTAAGTCCAAAAAAGCAAGTCGTCTACATTAGATGCTTGACATGTCAGTGCATTGGTTCCTCACTTGTAAATTATCTCTTGCTTGCAATGCAACATGTGTATGTAAGAAACAATTATGATTTTTACACAACTGAAAATTAGGTCATTAAAAAAAAAAAATTAATGCATGTTTGTTAAGTTGAATCGTGGTTTGATATGCCCAGTAGGGGTGCGTAGCTAGGCTCTGTTCTTGGCTGTCCACGTGCTTGAATCCTAATTGAGAAAATGCTCTTAAATTTCTATTTGAGGCCTTCTGTGTCATTGTGCTTCATATTTCCTGATTGACATTGTATTTGAACCAACACGTGTGCCATCGGTGGCATCGCTGAGTCCTATTTTGAGGCTTGCTTGCCTGTGATTTAAACGTAATTTTTGTCATTCATCAATATTAAAATGTTGGACAACCTTGGGCACACAATCATGGGGCAGTGCCACGGTGGCGATGTTTAACTACCTTGCCTGGTATACAGGATGTTGTGGGTTCGATCCTGATGCCTATTTATGTGGAGTTTGCATGTTCTCTCTGTGGTCGCGTGAATTTTTCTCTGGGTCCCTCCGGTTTTTCCCTCCACATTTATAATCAACATGAATTTAGAGTATTATACATTTCCACATTTTAAGCCACTTTGTTGAGCTATCATTTGTGGTGAGGTTGCTTCTGAAAAAGAGCTACATAGCTCCAAGGTGCTCGCTAACAGCACTTGTCCCAACAGTCTAAGGCTATACGGGGGGGGGTCTTTGTCTTTGTGTGTGCGATGCAGACGCAGGTAGGCCGCTTTGCCCCACAGTTCTCCGGGTACCAGCAGCAGGACTCGCAGGAGCTGCTGGCCTTCCTCCTGGATGGCCTTCACGAAGATCTCAACCGCATCCGCAAAAAGCCCTATGTGGAGCTCAAGGATGCAGAGGGCCGAGATGACAAGGTAGGTGCGGCCCACTCGGTTACATGCCACATGCGGGTTTCTAGGTTTTGTACGTTTTTTCAGCTGGTAAATAAATAATCACGATTCGCATCCTAATAATTAATCTGTCCCACAGTAACTTTCAAAAGAATGCTCTATTTATGTAATGGATAGCATTCCCTCGTGATTCGCAGCGTATTATTCTGGGTCTGTTTTGGGGCTATACGAATAACTTGGCTGCTTTTAAAGTTATGGGTGTGATGGAAGTGCCTAGGTGTGCTAAAATAAATGAATGAGGTATTAAGATCGGCCATGGGTCTATCCACTGCTGCAGCAAAGGGTCTCCCCCAAGCTTTCGCCATCTCGGTCTCGCAGTGAATCAATCCATCTAGCTCGTGCAAGATAACATAATTGCATCACTCCATGCGATGGATGCGTTCTCTGGTATATTTCCTCATTTGCTAACACTCGATCGTAAGTCTCAAACGCCGACTGTCATCTCTTCTAGCGATAGAAATCAACATGCCATGTTTACAGCTTTTTCAGTTTTTATAGCAGCCATTTTTAAAGCTTTGTATAATGAGAAGGGTAATTGGTTATATTTCAGATATCCTTTACGAGACTGGATAGTGATTTAGATGAATACTGAGGGCAGCACGACCTAAAGCCACGCGTAGGTGAAAACGTTTATAGCCACATGCATAACACTTCTGGTATGTGCATCTTTATGCAAATACCAGTAGAATTATAAACAAGGTATTTGGTGCAATTTACCTTCATGAGTGAATATAACAGTAATGGTGTATATTATTACGAATTTGTGATCAACTGTATCCATCCTGGCATATTTTTTTACGATGGGGGGGATGGTGGGGCATGCCTTTACGCCTCCAGTAGCTTTTGTGTGTTATAAGTAAATAACCCAATATTACATATTGTGAATTGGAACCACCTCGGATGGCAACGGTTAATGTGCCAGCATCATTAAATTGCGAACAAAGTGAATTGTATGACGATCTTATTTAAGAGTGTATTATTACATAATCGGTTTTATTAACTTTGTACAGAAAATGGTATCGCTGAACATTTTCCACCTCCCGCTATAGCCACATTCTTGCCCATGGACTGCAAGGTTTGATGGCTCGTACAGACTTCTAGAACTTAGAGAGTAGGTTTGTGCACCCATCTATCTGGGCCCTTTTAGTGTTATCTACTTGTATGCACGAGTTTCTCCAGGTGCTCCAGCTTCTTTCCGCGTGCAAAATACTTAAAAGCAAGTGGCCAAAAATCTCAGTTGAGTAACTGGAATAATTTTTGAGTTATTGAGGAGTTTGTGGATGAATATAGGCCAATTATACACTTACACGTGAATTTTCATCCTCTTAATGTATAATTATTCAACCTAAAACACGAGATGATGATGTCCGGTGTAATAGTTCCTCAGTGAAATTTAACCCTTAAAATGTCACTTTCAGGTTGTGGCGCAAGAGGCATGGGACAATCACCGTAAGCGGAACGACTCCATCATCGTAGACATCTTCCACGGCCTCTTTAAGTCGACGCTCATTTGCCCCGAGTGCGCCAAGGTGTCTGTGACCTTCGACCCCTTCTGCTACCTCACTCTGCCGTTGCCCATCAAGACGGAGCGGGCTGTGGAGGTCACACTCGTTTGGCAAGACCCAAAGTCCAAGCCTACCATGGTAGGCTCACCTGATGGGGGGGAAGCATTATTTGTGTGGCTCATGTGACGTGTTCTCACACCTGCATAAACAAAATGGCATCCCCTGAGGACGGCTGCTTGCGTTGTGACCAAAACGTCTATTATTTCCCTTCTACGTGACTTTACCGAAATAACCAAGAATAAGAAAATAGAATCCTTCAGAAACGGTGGCATGTGTGTGTCTTTGTATTCTACGAGCGGTCCTTTCCTTATCCACAGCTGGATGAGGGTCACTTTATACTTGGTGGCTTGAGGGGGTTGATCATATTTCACTGTGCGGGTTTGTGAAGGCAGGGAACATAGACATGGAAATAAAGTACAGCAATATTTTGTTACACTGCACACCACTTAGCCCCGCAAGCTCTGACAACATGTTAGTGCATGGTGGTCATTCATCCATGCAATCTCAAAGCTCAACCCTGTTCCACTTTCAAGATCGGAGATGGCCACATGCCAGCTGATTTGGTCATGGTGGCATGTAATCGTCATAAGACCCACGAGATGGCATCTACTAGGAGTACTTGTTATTTACCGTCTGATGTTTGTATAATGGATTTGTATCTATTGTTGTGCAGTACAGAGTGGTGGTGCCCAAGATGGGCTCTGTCTCCGACCTTTGTGCTGCATTGGGCCTGCTCGCTGATGTCCCAAAGGAAAACGTGAGACCCTGAGAACAGCTGTATGCATAATGGCGTGACTGTATTGTACGTGAACTTTGTAACTCTGTAACCCAACATCTGAGCTAATAAGACATCTCTGCTCGGCATAACAAAGGGATGATAGTGAAAAGTGAGGGGGTGTGCTGTTATGAATAATAAATATTCTTCAAGTGTTTGAAACTTGAAGACAGCATAGTTTTTTTCAAACTTTCCTCTGATAATTATTGCAGTGCTCGTCAGTTGTTGAAGGTTAATTTGCTTGTCATTTCATGGGATCTCCTTGCCTGTACCAAAATATGAGAATAGGTTTTCCCCTTTTTTCTGGCAACAAAAACAGGTGTTAAGATGTTAAAACGCCAAACTGAAACCTTTTACAAGGAATCATGTCTGCATTTACTTGTGGTCAGAATGCAAAAAAAAACACTCCGATAATATATGCATTGTCTTTGAAACTGATTGGTCCACACCAGAGACTGCTTTCTTTCGAGCCTAGTCTCAAATGGTTTCAATTCAGTTTCAAAGACAATGCATATATTATCGGAGTTTTTTTGCATTCTGACCACAAGTATTGTGGTTAATGCAGACATGATTCCTTGTAAAAGGTTTCAGTTTGGTGTTTTAACATCTTAACACCTGTTTTTTTGTTGCCAGAAAAAAGGGGAAAAACCTATTATCATGCTTGTCAATTGTTTATATCCATAATGCAATAATCTCTTCTAACGGAATCTGTTTTCCATGCCATGTTTCTGAGCATTAATTGCTGTGTTTACGGTCTCGTTTCAGATGGTAGTAACAGACGTGTACAATCATCGTTTCCACAAAATCTTCACTATGAACGAGCCTCTAAATGGCATCAATGATCGAGACGACATCTTTGTGTGAGTTTTGAAAATGTACTTTTACCCAAGGATCCAGTACCACTTTTGAGTAATGTTTTAGTTTTTTTGTAAAATGTAAAAGAATAAAAAAAATATACCCAAATAACTGAACCGTTAACTATTATTTTAGTAACAGCAGCTTGTGATCTGATTTTTTTTTTATGCTTGTATTCCAAAAATAATACTTTTATTTTATATCTGTAATGAAGTTGCTATTCGCCTTGTTACTTCCGCACCCCACCTCCAAGTGAAATTATAATTTGTCAGTTTTGTTCTCTCTTAGCCTATATCCACATTGGCATGGCATTTTTAGTAAATCACACTTGGTTCTCACATGTACACTAATATGCATGTAAGTCACAATCTGCACGAGTACAAGCCTGTTATCTACGAATCCTAATAAGACAGGAAACCTTTACCCCAAATTTTAACACGTTTCTAAATCCATGTAGAAGACATTGACTTCACCATAAGTTAATCTGTTAGTAGCGGCAGTTTGTTACGTAGAATTATAATGTAGAATAGAGCTTTGAAAATGTAGTGTTCATTTGATGCACACAAACATTTATATAATATAATCTGTCTTTCTCTCAAATAGCCTACTAAGTCACAATGATTTGTTTTGAGAAAGATCTTGCGATGAGATGTTTGACCAGTTTATTTAATGAGCATTTGGGAGGAAATTTGGAGTTCCTGGAGAGAACCTTTCATACAAGCGGGTAAACGGGCATTAAAACATCCATTGCTGTACTGCCACCTCCCTGCCCTTAAGTACATCACCTGATATTCCCATGCATTTTGCAATGCAAGTACTGTACAGGCTCAATCCTACTTGTGAAGGTCTGGTCAGGCATACTCAAGGGTATTTTGCTTTAGGAAAATAATGTGCAAGTAAATGCATGGTTATTTTATTGCAAATTGCCCATCACCTGTGCAGGTAATTATTGAGTATTTCAGTTGCAGATTAACTGCGCTTGATAATATATCCATAAATTTTATGTGCATACCAATTATTACAAGCCCCTTGCTGCGCATTGAGGTTCCATAAATGGGTGCCCACGTGACCATAAACATGTCGGCAAAGTAAACCAATTGCTACAAAAAGCAATAAACACGGACAATAAATTATAGGCATACAATTATACATTTTATAGCTTAATTAATACAAGTTTTGCATTATCTGTTTTTGTTTTATCTAGGCCAGCCCCACCTCCCCCACCCCACAATCAAAAGTTGACTGAATGAAATTGGTCTACTGGGTTAGACTACGCATTGATCCATTTCTTCCCTCAAGCATTCGCCCTGCACTACTTGGCCGGCATCTTGAAGGAGTTGAAGTCCATTAATCTGGAATCTAAGTGGCTGTGAAATCCACATGCTGAGAGCGGTTGCTTGTGTTGAGGTTTCTATTTCCGTGTTCTCAGATTCGAGGTGGCGGACGAGGACACGGCCCCCGACCACGTTCATGTGGCCGTGTACATGCGAGAGCGCAAGACGTCACGCAGCAGCTACAGTTCGAGCAGCGCCAGCACGTCGCTCTTCGGGCTGCCGCTACTCGTGTCTGTGCCACGCAGCACCACCACCCTGGAGGGGCTCTACGAGCACCTCACTGAATGCATGGAGTGAGTGGCGTGCAACACTTGGAGGGGGAGGGGGTGAGGTCTGGTTGAGGTGGTGGAGCAAGCCAAACTTGGTCAAAAGATGTTTTTTTCAGGCAGGTCCTTCATTTAGGTTGGTTTGGCCAATAGGCCCCGCCTTGCCCCGCCAGCAAATGTGGGCAAATAAATATTCAAATTACAAATTACAGGGGTGATTTGTAGACACAAATTACCAATTGACCCGGTGTAGTAGTTTGCGTGCTGCACCATAAATCCTAGCTCATGGCTAAAATCGATAGCGAGTGATATCACGAATGGGTTCTGAGCCCCGCCTGCGCCAACTTAAATTAATCCAGCGTGGTGAAGTATGGCCAAACAACCTGCATGACCACTGATTATGGGGCAGCTTTCATCCACCAGTGGGTTGACAAAACGGCTGTAAATTATTTTACCGACTACTTTGAGTTGTGTAATTTAGACATCCGTTCATTGCAATTAAATATTTACGTTGCATGTAATTTAGATGCTGCCCATCACCGAGTCATGGACCACCTCACCATATTAAACTGGGGGAGATTTTTATCAAAGTGAATACAACAATGTATGTATTTTGGCATGTACGGTTTCTATGTATTAGCATAGCATAGACACAGCCCCCTTTTCAACCTACGGCTGTTGGAGGTGCCCCCCCCCCCATGCCGTAGAGGTTGTAGGGGTTATTTGACCATACTTCACGACAATCGGTATGGGTTCATGAACACAAACTAATATTTTGAACTCCCAAAGCTGTAATTGTAGAAACTGGTTTACTGGACATCTGTGAAAAAGCTTTAGAGCTCATTACATTCCTCCAGTATAAATATTCTGAATTACGGGCAGCTGCTTGGATTTGAACCAAATATCTCAGTGTTCTGGCCTCTGAACCACCTGGCTACTTCTGTTGGTTAAACATTTGACTTATCTTTTAAGTCTACCTTCCAGTGGAAATGGTACTGGAAGCTTTCTGACCAATGTCTGTGTGAAATGCTGTCAAAGGGATTTTGCAAATTTCCTTTTTTTTCTTTTGCTTGCAGGCGCCACATTAGAAAACCAGATGACGAGGAGGAAGATCATGGACATCAGGAGCAGAATGGCACACACTACCCCCACAACTACAAATGCAATGGTGAGCTTTGACTGGTTTTTTTATCTACCATAGCTTTAATATTTGACGGCTTGTTTTGGTGATGTGCAAAAAAACATTGACATTTAAGCATGCAGGAACTCTGTTAAGATCGCATGACATTTCTTTATATATTTTTAAAATTTGATTACAATTGTGCCATCTGCAACGTATCATGAAATTAACATGTATCCCTTCAGAACTCTTGCAGAATGATGCATCGCCCCATATTAGATGGCAGCCCACCAAATATATTGCAGAACTGCTTTTAAGGTGTCTGCATGTGACTTTATAAAAAAAATGGCCATGCTACCCTTTTCTACAAGCCCTACCACAGATATTCGTTGCACGGCGGTCAAATGAAAAAGATTCAATTATCACGTATAATCTTACTAACTAAGTGAACCCCGACACGGCCATCTCATCTCAACATTTCTGGAAATAATTTTTTTTTTTTGTCTGCCGGCAGGCTCGGAACACATGGAGGATGACACGTCCAATCAGGACGTGCCTTCAAGTACAGTCACGGGAGACCCGGAGCAGGAGCTCGCTTCCGAGTCTGAGAGCGATGCGGACCAGCAGATCGTACCATCCAGACCCAAGGATAGCACAAGGGCGGTGCCAACGTACACGGCAGTAAGCACGGTCGACGGAGACTCTGACACGGAGGCGTCTCCCGAGCGGGGGGAGAGGGGAGATGGGGAGGGCTGTGCTGATGAGTCGCAGCTGGGCGGAAAAGGGCAGCGATGCGAACACAAGCGACGGCCCCTCTTCACCATCCACCCCGTCAACTCGTATGGCAATACAGAGAACCACGCCATCACAGACGACGGCAAGCCCATCAAGTTCCAAGGTGCCAGTGAGGACGTACATTTTCAGATGGATGGCATCGTCGGGTCTATGACCAAATCACCCACACACAGATTAATTTAAATAACACGCATGCACAAATACAGACATGCTGATCAAATTTAACGTGCACACACCCCTATGACCAAATGACCCAGAGTCTATCCAATATAACCATATCTCCTGAAAATAACCTGGATTTAGACTGGATAGTGCTTTACTCGGTCACCGCCATGCACAGATGGGTCGTTATAGGCTACGGGGCTACATGGTGGAGAGCAGAGGACAATGCAGCCTTCAAAAATGGGAACTGACCAGCATGGGGAGGATGGCTGTTATAACCCCCACGACCTGCACGGCATGGGTGGCCCTTATTTATAAGTGGTTTGACAAAGGGCTGTATATATATATACATGGAATGATCAGTGGTCATGCTTTATGGTCTTGTATGCAGTACTTGATATTAAGCATACCGTGTGTGTGTATAATTTATTTTGCTTAGGTTCCATTGCACTAATAATCGGCTTTTTAAATGATGGCAAGAACTGTCAATTGATACTTATTTGACCCTATTTGTCCAACAGGCTAGAAACTGTTTTATTCATTAACTCGTTCTACCTTCACATTTACATACATTTATTGCATGCAGATATAGTTTGGGTGTAGTGATGCATTGCAGATGCATATTGAATGGTAAGCGCCGAAGTAAGATAATGGGGTAATTCAAGCGTGATCGATTGATCTGTTTTTGTAGGCATACACATTGATCAATGCAAAAGTAACTAATAATTGTATTTTTTTATTACGTATTGTCTCTTTACCTGGGGATGCCTTGAGAGTTTCACAATTCTCATTCAAGAGGAACTTGTCAAGTTTTTTACAGCAGGAATAATATTCCGATGTCTAATCCTAATTTCTTAATTTTTTGCATAGAGGTTGTGGGTTTTTAGATACTTGGAGGGGCGGGGACCCATGCACACACAGGCAACCGAGTGGGGAATCTAACCCAGGGACTTCTTGCTGGGAAGTACACAAGTGTTACCATTGCACCACCCTCCCGCCCTTGTCTAAGTGTTTTGTCTTATCTTGCATTGCAGCGAGAACCTATCTGGCTTTAGAATGGGATACTGAGACGAGAGCACGATTCTACAACAACAATGTGGATAAGGTAATATTGTATGTTGAACTATATCCCCCTTGCCTTCAAGGTGACCTAAATTTTGCAGCTCAGGAAGGCATTTTCTATTCCGCATAAATGTATAATCCATTACACAGTTGGTTAATGCCGTCAGTGTTTTTGTGATGCATATCTCTTCTGTACAGAATCTTGAAATGCAGTGTGTATGTGTAGCTTCTTTCATAGCATGCATAGTAGCCGACCGTGCTAATTGGAGGTGTGGAACTTATATGCTGCACATATCCAAATTGTAATATTTGGCGTGTGGCGTGCGAGCAGGAATTTGAAAAACATGACAGCATGCTCGCACAGCCGTTGAAGAAGAAGCACCCAGTGAAGCTGAAGGAATGCATCGAGCTGTTCACGACCAAGGAGGAACTGGCAGCCACGGATCCGTGGTAACTATCCCACGAGCAAACCAGTACACATTCCAAGTATCAAGTAAACCAGATTTAAGAGGCATTACTTCCTCTGAGAGCCAGTTGGTATTTATTGTCGGCTTGCAACAGACCATGTCTTATTACATAGGGAGTTTATCTAAATTATACGTACGTGTATTTTATTCTGCAATGGCCCCCCACCGTCTGTTAGCCACAATGGACAGAAGAGATGGCTTTATTGAGTGACATTTACCTGAGGGATTGCAGGCTTTCTGCTCGTATTTAATAATTTAGAATTTAAGCAATGACCTGTAAACCTAATGGCTGCCTCTTGACTGATATATCTTAGGGTCTAACTTTATCAATTGATAGGCAAATGGCACTCTTTTCCAATTCCCGACATAAATCATCGGTGTGACATAGAGTTTTTTTTTCTTTGTGCAATCTGCTCTGGTCGTGAGTGATTGCCAGTCGGTGAACCAGCCATACTTGTCAATTTTATAAATTATTTTGTATTCCAAGGATTGAAACAGGTAATGTAATTTGGGTTTGTCTCCATCCAATTCGAAATTGCAGTTTAAAGGGTGTTTGTGGGCTTTTATGCCCTCTGAACCCTTCTAACTGATTTTATTGGTTTGCTTGAGTAATATTACATTGTTAAAGTGCTTTTTTAAAATAAATTAATCTTCTGCTCTCAATTTGCATATTTTTTTTGCTGCTGTGCTTGTACTGTCATTACTTCAGGACCTCGTTATGAACAAAATATAAAGGGGCTTATTTTGTTTTAGTAGTGTACATGAAACATTCAATGATATGAACTCGGCGATTGATCATATAAGTACACTGGCATGATGAATAAACATGTTTTGTCACACTGCTATTGATGATACTAATTTGATAAATACATGCACACCAGGTAAAGCCACAATTAATTCCCTACAGTGGAGTTTGATTGACCTAGATATTTCATCCACGTTTTTTTCTCTCCAAGAAATACTAATGTCACTTATTTTCCAGAAAAGCCAAGCTGCTGAACATATTTTTCAGGAAGTTTTTGGGACGTTTGATCAACCGGGACAACATTCATAGGTCCCACCTAGTTGTAAATGTTGTCATGACCGCTTATAAGAGTACAGAAGTACTCTTTAGGGGCAGAGGTCTTTAGGGGTATTGGTGGTGTATTTGCCCAGGTACTGTCCCAACTGCAAGAAGCACAAGCAAGCTACCAAGAAGTTTGACCTGTGGGCATTGCCGAAAGTTCTGGTGGTGCATCTGAAGCGCTTCTCGTACAACAAGTACTGGAGGGACAAGTTGGACACCCTTGTGGACTTCCCGATCCGGTGAGGACCCGCCGTGTTTAACTGCCTGTATTCGTTGTCTTTCTCGCACGTGCATTTTGAAATGTGCATTGGATAATAGGCATGTAATGATTCATCCTACGACGATTGGATAAATTGTGTTCTTAGATTCAAGAATGAACTCTTTATTGTCATGGCCCAAGTGAATTGGCCATGCTGAAAGAAAGGGATCCAGCTGAAACTTATTTTGTCCGTTAAATAAAGTCTGCATATGTTTGAATGTTTTGTATTAATTATAAATCCACGATGTTTTGCGTCACCAAATGTATTTTTTCTTTTTAAAACATCAACTTCAACTTTTACTCTTGATGCATACCTGTTGAGTTTAGTACTAGTTTAGAGTTATGCATATTGGCATTAAAATATATGATTATGCTGAATTGCTTTGAATCTTGCATGGTAAGATTTTATTTTTCAATCTATATACGTTTTATGTTGTTAAAGGAAATTCTGCAGCTGCTTTGGATTTTACCTGCACTGCAATGGAAAACTATTTAATTGCGTTGGAAACCACTGGTATCTTAATCATCTTGGAATGAAATGTTTGGTATTGTATTACTATTTACGATCTCGGATGTATTTCAAGTGCTTGGACATGATTTGGTCAGGTGGCTTGGGTGTCAATGCGGAGTTGGTACCACCTGATATCCTAGGTTCCAATGCAGGCAACTGCTCTTGATTAAATGGAATTCTCAAGAAAATGTCTATAATGGCCTCAGCCCAGTCACCTTTCCACAAAAAAGATAACTGATCTTAATATTGACTTAGTTTTTGCTAAATTCGATCTGGGTGATTGATTTTTCTGCTATGCAACATTCTCATAGGAGTGGGAAAGTGCACCCTGTGCCCTGTAAAGAATAAAAATACCAATTTAAGTCCTGTAAAAAGACCATGTGGACATTATCTAAGTTGAACATGGTTTGAACTGCTTTGAGATATTCAAATGGGTTAATGCTCTTGCCATAATGCCAATAGCTCCGTTGCAATAAAATAGTACGGGGGGGGGGGGGGAATATAAAATATGTTTATGTTAATTATACTTAAGGGTATTACAGGTAGGAACAACAGTTCCACACGGTCCACCAGGGATTATTTGTCTGTCGTGCATAGCCCCTCCCAAACATGTACGCTCCCGGATTGGTTGAAGTGCGTCACGTGACCACGAGCTTTCTGTCGTGCACGAATGCGCTGTCCAACCAAGTTCCTACCTGCCCACTCTGAAGGAACGTGTTTATGCTAATTCCGTTATTGTCATGCATGCATGCAGAGACCTGGACATGTCGGAGTTTGTGATCGGAACACAGGATGTTCCGTGCACCTATGACCTCATCGCGGTGTCCAATCACTACGGAGGAATGGGTGGAGGCCACTGTAAGTATACACAAACTAGATGTAATAAAATATTTAAAAATACTTTTTTAAAAAACACGCTTTAATGAAATGTACTGTCGAGCTGCCCCTCCCCATCTTCCACATGCCCCGCCCCTGGGCATGGCTCCCGAGGCTGGCCGTGACGTCGGGGACCACGTGGTGATTTACAGCCAACGTCAGTTGAGCGTGGACAATTAGAGCCGTTAAAAATATCGTTTAAATTTTTTTATGATAGAATATAGTATTGTCATCAGTGACATAGCTATACGAAGTTTTCAGTCGATACGACATTGGAAATACGGTTCAAATTGAGTTACAATATTTTTGGATACAACACAATACAGTAAGTTAAATAAAAGCATGTAAAAGTAAAAAAATATATGTTTTGGATTTTTTATGATAGAATATAGTGTGTCAGTATGACATACCTATACGAAGTTTGCAGTCGATTGCACATTGGGAAGTGTGTAAAAATTTAATTACAAGATTTATTTTTTGAGGCTACAACAGATGAAGTGAGTTAAATAAAAGCGTATAAAAAGTTACTTGTTTGCAGGTTACTAAAATCTCAACTAAATGTACTTTGTAATTGATTGCTCGTGTTGATCTCAATCTTGTAGTTTTCCAAATTGCCATTGTGCAATATCGATTTGATAATATCTCATCTTTTTTAAAATCCTTTATATTAAGTTCGCTTGCTTGCTTGCGCGCTTACGACCGTGCAAATCTTTCGGTCGTTTTTTAACCCACTTCCCGTGATCCAATCGAGCTGACATTTTGCACACAGACTCGTTGTGCGTGACGATTTCTTTTCGTGAAATTTTTTTTCAAAAATTTTACACTTTTTAGGTAAAAAAATATATTTAATTACTAATTGCTTAATGGTGGCAGGCAATCATCTGACCCATAGGTGGCAGCCATCTCAAGCTAGAGCACGAGAGGACTCCAGCCGCCCGTTTCAAAGACCAATGTGGGCTGGGTTGTGGCCCATTGAACACGCATATAAAGGATTTATAGTGAAAAACGTTGTTTTTACGGGTTAATTTTTTTCACATTCACCACTTGGCAAAAGGGAGTTGGACATTTTTGTGTAATGGCACAATGTATGGTGGAAAGTACAGGTACTGATATTTAAAAACCTGTGTGAATGTCATGGTCTTCCTTGGCAGATACTGCTTATGCGAAAAACAAGGCGGAGAACTCCTGGTACTACTTCGATGACAGCAGTGTTTCCTCCTCGGCTGAAGATCAGATTGTGGTGAGAATTTGTAGTCGTTTTTCTTGAAAACCTTCTTCATTAAAACTTGTTTTGCATGTTGAAATCACTCCAATAATTATGCACAATACAAGCTGGTGAAGTGCATTCAGTTTTCTTGTTTCAGTTGTGTATTGTCTATATGCATCATGTATTTTTTGCATTTCTGTATTTATAAATTGCTTGCATGTTTATTGTGCTCTACTAAAACTATAATCCTGTTTTGAAAATAGTATTTACAAATATTTAGCACGAGACCTAAAAGCAATCGATGACCAAAATGGTGGATCTCGATATGTGATTATTCCTTATGTTTCTAAATAAACTTTGCCTGGAATCGCAGTGCATAAAATTGTCTTTGCATTGGCAGTCGAAGGCTGCGTACGTGCTCTTCTACCAGCGGAGGGACAACCTCAAGCGTGCTCTGGAGGTCTCGGCATCCTTGGGCGTCCCCGAGGAAAACCACGATTCGCAGGACAACAGACATGTTGCCAGCGGAGAGGAGGATGCCATGGACAACATGGACAACATGGACACAAACTAGGCCCAGCTGTGTGCACAACCGACGGGTTCCCTCCTTACAGGACGCATTGGCATGTTCGTATCGAGCGTGGAAGTGTGATGTGTGCCTGCCTAAGGTGCATCCAGGTAGCAGTCAACCACCAACCTCTGTCTCCTACCAACTTTATTACCCCTTTTTAAAGGTTGTGCCTTTTAACATCGTTTTAAAAAGAAAACGCCCGTCTCACTCGTACATCCCAAAAATGTCCCACTGCTAAATTCCCTTTTAAGCAAGTGGCTGACATGCCCAGCCTCGCGCAGCCAGCCAGCAGCCCGCCCCCCCATGCTCCTGCCAGAGCATGCACGTGCTCGCATGGTCTCACGCACGGATGATGGTGCCTGTTCTTTGATCAGTTTTCCAGGCATAGTTGCACACACCTGGCTTCGCTTCATTTTGCCATGGGGATTGTGGTTTGTCCTGTTTCATTATTTTTACCACTTATGCTGTTTCCAAATTGCAGCCTTGAGTCAATCTGGGGTGGCCTAATTGTTTAATAGTGTTAGGTAAGCCACTTCCTTATACTTGCACAGAATTAACTTTTTTGTGTGATTTTGTGGATCTATCAGTGATGCATAACTGAAGCAGTGCATATTGATTCACTGGCGTGATAATAAAGCATTAGTTTTGCATAAATATTGTTACTTTTTGGTGGCCTATCATAAGGGCTCGAATGGAGTGGATGGTAGGTATAAAGGCACTTGGCCTGTGATCCTATAGATATTGAGTTCTGATTTTATAATTTCTTCCAAATTTTCAGTTGAGAGCCACCTCCTAGAGGTGTTTGCACGAGTCGAGAAATGATTGCGTTTCATGAAGAGGCCATATTCCTGCAACTTTTAGATACACAAATCAAAGAGGAGTTCTTGTAGCTGCTATTTAATGGTGCTCCTACAACAAGGCCCTGTTCATCCCGAGTAACTTGTGGAGCCTTGTAATGAAACTCCGCCCAGGGTGTCTGTTTCATAATTGTGACGTTGCCACGTCATCTTTTTATCGTGGCTATAAAATAGTACTGCTTTTAATCTGATCGTTAATTTTATTTGGAAAATGTAAATTCAGAAGTGCAGTTTTTAACAGGCAAAGGATGATACGTAGGTTTTTAAAAAGTACTGTTTATAAAATTAAATGGTGAAGATTTCACGAAACTCGTGCGTGTGGCCAGATGTCCTTCAAGTAATATCAGATTGTCGTGATGAATATCAAACTAATAGCACCAGCCGTTTTTCTTGTTTGAGTAACAATAAATATATGCTAGCGTGATGAAATTGTATATGCTGTATATTGGAGTTTTCATGTAAACTGTTGTACATTAATGGCATGGGGTTTTTAGCGCAGTTGTGTATATACAGTAACTTTATAACCAGGAGAGTGCACATTGACAATGGGCAGTACTGACACTGAACTCGATTTTGTGTCATCTTAATACTTCATTACGGTTGGTACATGTAGTCAGGGATTTAGAGAAAAATGTATAAAAAAAACACTTGATTTCACACCACTGTACCAGCCAGAATGAGGCTTCGTTTGTGTGGACAGCCCATGCATCGTGCTCACAGCATGTTAGTGTGTGGATACAAGTTTGAATTGCACTGTACTGGTGTGTTTTTAATGTTTGGGTGACAAGTTTTTTTTCCCCTCCCTTTCCTAAAAATGCAACCCGAGAAATCCACACGAGCGCTCACTTCGCGCGTTCGCGTGACCTCGTGTGTGTGTGTGTGTAACCCATGTGTGCGTGCCAGGGGGCTGCCGTGCTGGGGCTGTTGACTTTTCCTGGGTTGGGCGAGGAGGGAAGGGCATGATTTCTGTGGGCACACATCGATTCACGGGGTAAATCCGCGTTTGTGTTCTGTAAGCTTGAGACAAAGAAATGCAGTGGATTCTATACGGTTGTTTTTCAAACGATAGCTGTGATTTGTGTAACATTTTGCAAAGTTACAAATCTTACAAGATGAGAACACGAATAATACATTAAATGTAAGTGCAACCTATTCCACTGTAGTAGTTCAAGTTTACAGGATATTTTGACAATTTATGGAGTGAGAATAAAGATTACCTGCAGGAGAAATTTGTATTGAAATACTGTAATCAAGGTGGGAAATTCTCCCTTCAACGGACGCTATCGGAAACTTCCCCCACTAATATTCGGCAACCTTTAGTCTGGCGCTGCTAGCAATACATATTTCTAGCGGCAAAATTTGACGCGAGCACTGCAGACGCTTGATTTTAAGTTCGTCTGCCACAGTAAGTCTGGAGGATGCGGGGTGCTAGGGAGTGGGTGCAGTGCACTGTGTGGAACGGATGCCAAATCTGCATGGATTAGTGCTGGTGTTACCTGCCTGCACAAAATAAGCCTTTCAGTGGGCATTGATTGTCACTGACGATTGCTTTTATGTTCTTTTTAAATAAATTTGAGATGAAACACATTGGTTCTTTGTCACAATCATTAACAACGTGGTGTTTAAATTATAAATGCGTTGGTCGTACACATGAGCGCAGCCGGTCTAAACTAAGATTGCCGTCTTAACATTCAAATTGGGGTATTTTATTTTTCGCCAATAACTAAATGACAAAAGGCTCCTTACGAGACTGCGTTGATTTTATTCATGTGCACGTTTGTGGTTTACATTTGTATATTAATATTTTGATGCAGTGTTTTTACCTAACATGTTATGTTCAGCTCTAACCCAAAAGTTAGTCATGTAATTGTACCATGCTTATTGTGCCAATATGGACACGACTAATTGGGTTTTCTATGCTGCTTACATTTGCTTATGACTTTGCATTGGCATAATGACTGAAATAGGGTTAATATTTGACGAGAAAATGTTTGCATTCCTGTAATTACACATCTGCAATAGCGCTTCAATGTCTACTTTCATATACGTATTGCGTTCAGCAGACATGCTTCTTGAATTATGTAGGCTTCCAAACATGGAAGTTTAATAAAGGTAACTCATTTACCCTTGGCATGAGCAATATATGAAGTGTAGTGCTAAGAGAGCAATAACTTTCAACACTAACCTTTGTGCCTCGGTGCAGGGCTATAATGTCTAACTGCTGGACTATTAAATGTAGAGCCATTTGGCAAAACAATAAATCTCTAATTCATTATCATATTCTACAGAGCATTCTCCCTTTACATGGTTGACGTTTGATTAATCCGCAAATGTCAATGGCCTAAAGGCTGTTACATTTTGATGGTTTAAAACAATACTCTTGAATTCTAAAGAAACTCAATGTTTATTGCTGAAGTAATAAATACAACGCTTCAAAATTGACGTAGCTTAATGGTCTGCCCACTATTCAAGAATAACTTTACAAACTGAACAATTGCATAAATACTCTGGTAAATAAACGTTGTACACATACGCCCACGATTTTGCATGTGGACAGCTGGGCTGTGGGTGTGTAGGCGAGATTGTGTGAGGTCATGCTCGCTCGATTTGTATTCTGTACAAACATCCCCGTTTAGCCATATGGACTTGGTGCCAGTGTTGTTAAGAGTCCATTAAGGCCAGCATGGAAACAAGAGGGGGTGGTACGCGTAGCACCACGACGGACCGTCATTGTTATCCCCAGAATTGACGATATCTACACATCGCACCAGGCACTCATTTAATGCGGAGTCAATCTACGGGAGGCGCAGGACTGGTTCAGATAATGGTCTGATGTGAGCCATTGGTACCCTGATGTTTCTAGTGCAATGTCCTAGTATGTCACAAACTCTCTGCATACACATGTATATAAATGTGTATGTTTATACAAAACTGCCAATTGTTACGAAGTGGTGGTGACGCCACTGCATTTGTGCTAGACTAGGTGCACTTTGAGGCCATAAAGTGTTTGAGGCTGGCTGGCAGATTACAGAATAGACACTAGTGCTATGGGTAAACTGAGATGTGTTATACACTCGAGCTTTTTGATGAATAGAATACGTGTACTCAAACATTGTAGAGTATGCTGGCTCCCATAAATTCTGGCCAGAATCGTCAAAAATTGTAGAATATAACGCATTGTTGAGGTGGTTTGGCTATGATGACATTGATCTTGGTTATAGGAATACTTTATACGGCAATTTCTGTGTTTGCTCGGAATTTCAAACAAAGGATTGGAGCCCCACCGAATCATCATTTGAGTATGGAATTTTGGACACATTTTTCCTCCTTTCTGGGTGGTGCAGAATAGGTCAGAATCTAAAAAAATATATGCTGGGCTCCAGGGAAAACTCCGAATGTAATGCTTTTCAGAATCTAAAAAATATTTGCTGGGCTCCAGAGAAAACTCCGAATGTATTACTTTTCTGCACCAAAGGGCAACCGTGATAGGACATTAAATTCCCCCTCTGCTTGGACATCTTTTCCCAGGTCTAATCCATGGACCTTGGTGATGGCTCAGTTTGCTCGACCATGACCATATATCTATCAACCACCGGATTGACCCAGCCACATTCTGAGCACAGGTGCACTTAATATTCAAACAAGGCTTTTGGATGATATAGCTGTTGATAATGATTCATATGAGGAATTAAAGAGACTTCATCAGGTGCGTAGAATGGTAGTTTGATTTAAAAGCAGATGACCCGTTAATTGTAACGAAGAGCCCATTCCGATTGATAGAATCAGAATATGTATTCATACTGGAGGAATCCTCAGATGGGCTTTAAATATGCTCCGGATATCGAGTATGTGGTAAATCGTAATACCAAAAAACCCTTTAAATCTAGGTTGGCAATGTGGTTGGCTGGCTTAAAAATCGTATATCATTCGGTTATCTATTGCAATAATGAACAGGATAGCATAGTTTAACACCGGCTTTCGCGACCAAAAAACGCCCCTGTATTATGGATGGAGGATACTGTATATACAAGTGACAGGAGGTGAATGGGTCTGGAAAGACATCTGTTGTGTTTCCACGTGTTCTGTATTTCCCGAGTTATAAGTCCCAATCCCCCCCCCCCACCCTGTATTTTAAAGCAGAGGATTTGGGGTACATCTTATAATCCGAAGAATACATCATCTCGTCGTTCAGAATAATTTTGAGGAAGTAAGTCGCAATCCTGCGCTTTCAGATGCCCTTTTGCGGCCGTCTGGAATGCTCTTCCGATATTTGGAAGCCACTGGAGCTATGCACTTTTAAATCTGGATTGAAAACTCAATTTTTTATAACTGCGCTTTGTTTCTTTGTTCTACCCCCGCACCTCTTATTAGTGCGGCTAGCTACATACGATGCAAAAAAAGTTCACCATAACATGTACATACATTACCACCACAGTGAGTCACCACCAGCTCTTTAGCTGAATCTTCCAGAAGACATCTCTTCTTAGGAATAGAGGGGAGGGGGGTGGGGGACGTCAATACATAATTTGCACATGTATCCAGGAAAACTTGAATTAGGTTTTAATTTGAAATCGTTTTCAGCTAATTAATTAACGTTTACACATGCTTGAAGAAACCAGAGACAACCCACACATGCGCACGAGGGGGGCAACACACTATCCCCGCACAGATGGAAACAGATGGTGATTGGTCTACTTGCTGTGCTGCCTCCTCCTGGCGAGCCAGGGTATGATGGCACCTCGACACTCACGGGGAAGGGAGTTTCACAAGATCTGAGTGTGACCCACCAACCCCCACCTCCTCCACAGTGCTGGACCACAGGCCTGGACGACACGGCCCCTTTACAAACATCGTGGATAGGTGCAGCAGATACAGCAGATAGGTTTAAAAGTAATACGGTATGATGGAAAGTAGACAGTTTCCTGGTTGGCTGAGTGTTGACTGTAACAGTTGCCTTGTTGTGCCTTTCTATACTGTTGTATATTATAAATATAACCTATTTTTTTAAACCAAATTTAATAAGTTAGACTTTATGTTGCGGTTGAGTGTCGACCTTTCAAGAAGAAGCCTTGTGCCACGTTTTAATATTTTCCTTGAAATTATGAATCGTTCTTGATTTACCAAAGACAGGATCCTGGGACGTGATCGTGACTTTGTGTCGATTGGTGACCCCGTAACAACAAACAGCCTTCTGCTTCCTTTTCATGTTTTGCGATTTTACGCATTATTATTATATCCTTTGAAAATAAGTTTTTGATTATTTACATTGTTCTTTCTTGTAAATAGTTAATACACAGCAAAAAAAAAAGAACATGGGGGGAAAACCGCCATCAATAATGTCTTCGTTTCGATCTTTGAGTACACGTTGTATTCATCAAAAAGCTCGAGTGTTTTACAGATCAATATACATTTATTTTGATGTCCCATCACAATTGTTGAGGGACTACCGTGCGTTATATTGGTGTGGTCTGGGACCGTTATTGTTGTTTTTACTGCCTTGCCAAATCTTCATAATTCTAACTTTTTATCTTCTTGGTTCTTTCGGTAAAGTCACGTAGAATGGAAATAATAAAATAATAAAAATAATAAAAATAAAACATGATAAAATAATTCTCACGACGTTTCGGCCACAACGCAAGCAGCTGTCCTTATTTTATTATTTCCATTCTACGCGACTTTACTGAAAGAACCAAGAAGACGAATCCCTGCATTCACGAAAGCTTTAAATCGAAATCTAACTTTTTAGTTTGAAAGATAAAATGTGTATTTTATATTTAGTGACTTTCTTACCAATTTCTAAATTTTCTACTCTTATCGTTTTTTTATTGTTTGCTGTTGTAACTGGCTGACCAGCCCACACTGGACATCTATGGGGGGAAAGAGCTTCATAGCTCTTCGTATTCCTTCTGCAGTCTAAATAAAGATTCTCATTCTGATCATCTCCCCAATTCTAAAGCAGCGCGTTCATAATCACATATCCGTCAACTCCTTATCAGTGCCCTACCTTTTTGCAGACCAATTCAGACCTTATCGGTCACCCCGTACCCTTATGAATCTCAACGTTCATCTTACAAAGTCCGATTACAAGGGAGACACACAAACAAATAGACACTCACCACTAGTACACTCACCACGAGTACTCACTAGTACACTGACCACTCCATACTTGTCAACCCCTTATCAGTGCCCCACCTTATTGCAGACCAATTTAGACTTTGTTGGCCACCCTGTACCCTTATAAGTCTCAACGTTCATCCCACAAACTCCCATCACAAGGGAGAAACACCAACACATGGGTTTTTTTGCCCGTATTGAAACGGCTGTGCGCCGTGTGGACATGAAAACTAAAAAAAAACTCAAATTCCCTGTTGCAAGAAGACGGAGTAGACCGTATGGGTTGACAGCTATGGAATCATATCACCGGATTCAAACGCTCATAAAAGCAAGCGAGCACGCTTTTGTGTTTTTTTTGTCTTCAGGTGTCCCCATCTTATAATCCGGACAATACAGGAAGATCAAGGAGTAATTCGTATTTTGATTTAAAGCTTTCGCGACTGCAGGGATTCATATTCTTGGTTCTTTCGGTAAAGTCACATAGAAGGGAAATAAAAATAATATATATATTTGTAAATACATATATTTAAAAATCTATATATTTGTATTATTTTGTAAAAATATTTAACAAAATATATAAAAATAGATATATAAAAAATATATAAAAATATATATAGTTGTATTCTTTTGTAAAAATATATAAAATATATATATTAAAAAATATATATTTGCTATTTTATTATTTCCCTTCTACGTGACTTTACCGAAAGAACCAAGAATATTAAGTAATTAACAAGCATAGCAATCGGGCTTGTCAAGCCAGAGGGTTTCCCCTTCAGATCTGGAGGAAAACCCTCCGAGCTGGCAAGGCGCACGCGCGCTCCGGTGTGTTTGCGGAAGCGCGGTGCCGCGTCAGCAACGCGCCCCGTCAGCTCCGGCCGCCTCTCCGCACCTCCACTCCCTCCTCAGAGGGGAAAAAAACGAAACCAAACCCCGAGCCGCACTCCGCCGTGCTCTCATGACACCGCGTGTCCGCGTCCAGCGGCCCCAAGCCGCCAGGGACCGCGTTTTTTAGCGGCCCGATCGAGGCCTAGCCGCGCTGGGAAAGCCTACGGGCTTGCCTCTACGGCCTGCGGCAAAAGACGCGAGGGACCACCCCGCACCCTCCTCCTCCCGTCGGTCGCCCGCCTCTTCCGCGGGGCCTTTAACTCGACCGGGTTCGCCTTGGACTTTGCTCGCGGCTGCTGCTCGAGCGGCTTCGGCAGCGAGGATGGCGACCACGTCTCCAGAAGCCGTCAAGAAATTGATCGAGCACATGCAGAGCGATTTGCGGGCGCTGTCCATGGACTGCAAGAAGAAATACCCCCCCGTGAAAGAGGTAAGGTTGGGGGGGGGGTGGGTGGCGATGGGTTGCGGAGGGCCTTCATCCAGCAGTGGATTGACCATGACTGATGATGAGGATGGTTGTGGAGGCCATGTGCGGTGTTGACGTCTGTACAACAGGTACAGCCCCGTATTTGTCAACCCACACTGATGGATGAGTGACACCCGGCGTCGTGCGTGTCCAGGGTTTGTCTTCCCATGCGGTACTTTATATCTCGCATGTCATTGCGCGTTGGAGCACACTATCGATCAACAATTGATGTTGCTGTACTGCCCTTCGCTGACAACATAGCCCAGCAATAGCATACAGCAGCTGTTTGGCCAGTTTATATGTACAGTATAAGGAGCCGTGTTGCTTGGCACATGCGAGGAAACTGGAGTACCCGGCAAAAAAAGTAAAACGCATTCCGTATAAGATCCGCACGAATGAGTTCACGAACTCTCTTGTTGCCATGTCCTGGCCGCCTCGCAGCCACGAAGTGGCTTTGGGAGTTTTACAAAACCTCAAATGTCTCCTCCGGTTATTGACTTTCGCAGCCGCTGTTGTATTAATGTAACGTGTTGTGGTCAGTTGAATCTTCAAGTTGTTTTTCAAGATGGTACTGGTGTGATACATCAGTTTGTTTTCGTGAGCGTTATTCTTCTTGAGTGGATATCGGAGAAAGTGCGTAAGAGCAGAATGCTCAAATGTCCGCACAGACGAACTTGACGTCCTGCAGTGCCGCCGTGTGTGCTCCCCACCTCGCAGCCCCAACGTGTTTGAGATCTTTACATTCAACAAAATTCATCTTCATGATTCACCAACCTTTGCCTCCAAAACCCTGGCTTGGCAGGCGTGCACCACCACGCCCATAATATTTTAGGTCGTAATATTAATTTGTGTGTTAAGTCCTTGTGCTCATGTTCTTGCTCAATACTTAACTCTAATACACACACGGGCCACCCTTCTCCCCGTCGTATACCTTGATCAGCATCCTTTCTGCACGAAACTCCCTGCTTTCTCAATTCACTATCTCCATACCCATCATCACATTGTTCTTTTTCCAGTGCCGATTAGGCCCTCCCTGTCCTGTGCATCATTTTGAGATTTTCTGCCATTTATAGTCGCCTTATGAAATGACATTTAATGCTTTTAAAAATATTTTCTGTTGTCATTCCATTAAGGCGCATTGAATCGACTGTTGAAAATATATGTTGATTAATTTGTACATCTCACGTCATGCATTTTGACGCGATAGTTTACACACCTGGACAACAGCACTTGACTGCCGTTTAGCTCTTTAATTTTAAAGTGGGCTTGGGCAGGACACGTCGGGATGGTGGCCGATGGTCGAGACGGAGGCGCATGCAATGGGGAGGGAACATGCTCAAGAGGAAGTCCACGGCACAGTAGGAGCTGTTGAATCCAATAATTTGCAGGAGATAGATGTATTGTTGCATCATATGGGACTCTTGAGTTATGACAGCGGCCTAATGAGACCACCGAGTAGTGAATAGATCATGGCTGACAATGGATTGTCTTGAATGACCATGATAGTGTACAATTCAAGCATTGACTTAGAGCTGTCAACTTTTAAAAGGGGGACACCCCCTTTAAACGTTTTATGCTTGCAAAAAAAGTATAATTACAATGGAGTGGCACCTTGTTGAGTAAGGTACGTGAGAAAATAATTGAATAAAAAGAATGCACCAGAGAAGACAGCTTAACATGTCCACCAAGGACAGCCATTCACCGATATAATGTTATTGACATTGGAGAGAAGTGAGCACGTGGACTGCACGTTGGTTTCAATAAGAGAGAGGCTGTTTTCTTTGGTCTACATATGAGTAGACCCAGTGTTTTAAGTATGTTTACCAGAAATACTGACCAACTATACATAAAAAAAGTATAAATAAAAGCTGCCTGCTGCCTTTGTGCACTTCTAGTGCTGATACGAAATTTAATTTGTGTAACTTTGTATTTGGTACTGCTGTTGTGTACTTGGATAGTGACTGGCAACATGATTGAGATAAATACCTATTGGAACAGCATGTACATGAAAACATTTTGACTGATAAGTTAGTTTGTTCTCATTCATACAGTACCGAACATGGACATTTAATGTCTTGTTGGAGAGAAGGCTTCGGTGAAAGTATTTAATGTTGTGGCAGTTATGGGATTACATAATGTACACGTTGTTTTGTGACTTGTAGTGCAGTAAAACATTTACGCAAATAAACATTGAGTTTAGCATCACTTTGAGTAATATTTGTGGTTTAATACATAATTAAATAGACAAAAGTGCATTTTTGATACTTAGTGGATATTGTTACAACTCATTGGCCTGCTTAGTATCCAAATGTTATTTTATTGTTTCTAAAGATGTAGTTAAACATATTTAATGTGGGATAAGCTCTGCTTGGTTTTCATGCGAATAAGGCATTAGATGTCTGCTTCCCTTACATTGGTAAAAGTATCTGTTATAAAGAGGCAACCACAGTTCACCTGTTGCTCATCCATCAAGCTTTAAAACATGAGTAAGCAAGAGAAGAGACATGTATCGTGAGGATAGACCCCAGGCTAATGTTTTGGCAACGCCGAGACCAAGGGGACTTGATCACTTTACACTAACGATGCCTTTGTTGCTGTGCCTGTCCGAGCTTATTTATACGTTACGTTGAATTGTGTTGCCACTACCAGCTTTAAGCTTGTTGAGAGGAGTACTCGACCTCGTATGAAACATGTACATATTATGCAGAGGGCACTTATGTTAATGGTTTTAGTAATATACCCACTTACCTGTTTTTTTAAAATGTTAACGCTCATTTTATTTTGGAAACGTAGTGAATGTGTTGCGATTTTAATTAAGTATACATCTTTAAAACTCGTGTTTTCAGATTACATACCGAGTAGGAGGGATATTAAGCATTAAGTTTTGATATTTCAGGGGTGTGGCTGAATTTTATTTTCTATTTGTGTCTAAACATTTAGGCATAAATAGAACGTGTGTGCTCTTGGAGTAAATGGAGAACATGTTTGCTATTTTAGAAAATAGTTATGCAAGCTGGTGCAAATGGCATGCTGACTTTGAAAACCATGGAAACCTTTGGTATGGTGTTCATGTTCACAAATGTCCCCATCTAGTGAATTGCATGGGGTTTAGATGGCCTCACATATTCAATGTTTATAAATGGAATCATTTTACACGACGGTATGCACCCTTTTGTATGCCTTTTGTATGTACTGTAGTTACATTTATATTTGCCAACACATGAGATCTTCGACAAAAAAAGACTAAAGATACAAAAAGTAACTTTCATAAGTCACACAATACATCATCTATTGAACACTGGACTCCACATGTTAATTTGTATCTTTAACATACAAGCTTAATAAATGATAGTGGGAAAAGCCTTAAACTTGCAGTGATAACACAATCATTATTACACTTTAGGTCTTCATTGCCATAGCTTCCTGTTAAGTATTCCTATTGGTAGCATGTTAGAATGTCCACGCTAACACGTGTGCTTCCCATGTTAAGTGTTGCATATTAATCCAAAGGTATTCAGCAAAGGTGAATCAAATACGATGATGTCTTTGATAGACTTCTTAGAGTTGGGTTAGCTCATTGTTTTATGTAAGAGTGGGCAAGCCATCTAGCTGAGTGTTCCTAGTATTACTGTCAATGTTCGAATTCATGTGTGCGGAGCAAGATCCGTGTGTTTTTATTCAAAGTCTAATGCTGGAAACGCCCTTTCCAGACCCAGCCAACATCCATACACGATTGGGTTATGTTTGTATGTTGTCTCAACAAAGTGTTGGCAAGATAGCCCAGCTTGGCTGTTAACAGGTCTGATGTACACATCGGTTATTGGTTTTGACAGTCCAGAAAACACAGATGTGGACAGTAATGTGTGGAAATGTAAACAAATTGTTGAATACCGTGGGTCGGTCAATTTGAACGACTGTAGTAGGAACGGCAGTCCAGCTCAATAAATTGGCAAGCATACAAACCACACAGTATGTATTTGTCAATAATAATTTCTAGAATGTTGTAATACTTATTACTTTGGAGTAGATCAAATCCAAGTGCATAGATGCCACTTTGAGTCTTGAGCTTCTTATATTCACCAATTCATGACATTTACTCACTCCCTGTCTCCTGACAAAGCAGCAGGCGAGTGCCACTTAATGGTAAACCAGCGCCAGGCTGATCACATGCTTTCAAGCTGCTTGGGGTGTACAACAAATGCACTGAGTGATTGGCACTGGACAAGTACACACTCCCAGACATATCTATGAGGACTGCAGAATAAGGACCCCCCCTGCGTGTTAGTCTGTCTAAAAAAAAACGCCACCTTACGTAATATTACCATTGTTGTGTCTTGTTGCCTCGGTGCATTGCTGCTTACTCTACGATTTAAGTGGCAGCACCGAATTATGCAAGAAATGTAACATTCAGATGTATAATAATCAGAGGGGGAGAACTGATGTTTGCAGCCTGTGAAGCATGAACATAATTTTCTAAGCTTTGCGCATTTTGTTCTGTAATTGGTTGTTTGCTGTTAGGGAGTTGAGTGCAATAATTTTTGTTGACATTCGCTCTAATTGGCCTTGGTTAAAATTGATAGCCTGGTTGCTGATTGTATTAGATGTTTAGTTGTAAAAATGCTGCGAGCTGCAATACTCCCAAAGATATACCTTCTGTCTTGCTGTTGGGAAGTGGAATTGATGCCTCTGCATAGCCCATACACATGTTTATGCTGAACTCAGTAGTCTGATTTAAAATTTTCAAAGGCCAGCCAACTACAATGGGCTTGGCTGGCATGTTTAGTAACTGTTTACAAATGGATTCTTGGAATATAATAGGAAGGAAAGTTGCAGGGAAGGCTGTGGTAGAGTCGTAAGATTTCTTGTTTTGTTCTATGTTTTTTGGATTTCATTTCTTATCCCAACTCGGAAAATAAGTACACTTTTGATTGAATAAGTATTGTAAAGTTTAATGTCTGATTTAATCATTCATGTTGTTTTCACTTTCCTTTTATGTTGCAAATAATGTTAGAGCAATATTATTTACCACTTTATTGAGGTTGTTGAACTAATAACTTTTGACTTGGCTCCTCAAATAAATTAGGTGTAAGGATATAAATATTACTCTTTCAGTGTATCAGTAGTTTCTAGATACAGTAATGACTTTATACCGGAGAGCATATGAAATTTCGTTTTTGCTGTTTACAAATTAGCCAAGCCTTGGCGTGCATGTTTAGTAACTATTTACAAATGGAGTCTGAAGACGATTGCTTGTGTTGCGATCGAAGCGTCGTGATTTTTTTTTCTATATACGTGACTTTAGCGAAAGACCCAAAGAGTATGAATTCCTGCAGTCACGAAAGCTTTAAGTCATCATGTGTTATCGTCATTTCATAATTGGCCATTTGATCAACACCCATTTGCTAGGCTACTCTTGTCTGTTGAGGTCTCCGTGCAATATATATATACATCCACATTGTAATTGTATTTTAATAAGTAACACCCATGCATCGTCAGATGTTTTAAAGTGATTGTTTAAATTAGATTTTGCATGTCGATTCTGGAACCATGTTAAACAAAAACTAAGACGTCCTGCCAAATGGGTTTCCTTGAAAGTGCTGTTGGTTCACGGTATGTAAGTCAATCAGTCTGAAAACCTTAATTGCAATTTTCACGGTGATAAAGGTCATTTTGCAGGTTCGGAACTTAAATTGTGTTGCTGAGTAATTATGTTTGAAATAAAGGAAAGTAATGGAGGCTGGGAAAACACCATCCCATTATTGATTTGGAAAGCAAGCCCTTGGGTAAATTTTCTGCTAACGTTTGTAATCAACCTTTACCAGAGTTATAGAGTGCATTCGATGTCCTCATTTTTGCCTTTAATTGTGTTCACTGTCACTTTTGTTGAAGTGAAAATCAGCCGTTTACATTATTTATTGCTTAGCAAGACCTATTTGCAATTGAAATCAGCCTGACTGCGTCATTGTATTTTGAAGCAAGCCTCCTACATGAATAAATAAGTTTGGTCACATTAGCCATTGTACGCTTAGGTTAACAAGGTCAGAGGACACACATGGGTCCTGACTAAATGGTAGAACCCACTGACAATGCTGTTTGTCATAAAGCCCAAAATACAATATGATATCTAGCGGTCCTTGTGAAATTAACGTCTATGAATGACCGGTAATTTTGGTTGCTTTATAGAACGTTTATAATGACTTTTTAAAAATGTAAATAATTTTAGGTTTGACATATTTTAGTGAAAATGTTTGTTATTGAAACGTATTTGTGTGAATAATAACATTTAATTTTCTTTAGGCTGCAGAATCTGGGATTGTGAAAATTAAAACCATTGCTGGAAAGAATAAAGACATCCTTAAAGGTAAAGTATTTTTAAAATATGAATTTTAGTGTAGAATTTTTCAAGGTTTGGTTTACAATAAAGTAATTGTACACTGCACTCCTGACGAATTGGTTCGGTTTTTATTCGAATTTTATTTTAAAAATCAAGATTAATCATGTTTGTTTAATGTTTTATCTTCGTATTTTAGTTTCATAATTTGAATCACAAATGGGGAATTAGACCATTTTGTTATCCTATAAATCTGAGTTTTAATGAGGTTATAATGATGGTAATGATATTTCTGCTCTTGACTAAATGACTGTAATTGCCATCTAATCTAAAGTAAATGTTACTTGTCAATTTGATTACTTCATTACAATTTCATTCGATCAGTCTTGGCATTTTAAACAATTCGGAAAATTGACATCTTAATATTGCTTTTTTATGAACATAAATTTACTGTTATTCTCAGTAGCTGTTTTGTGTCCATAATTGTGATACAGATATTCTACTTAGCAAATATTTGTTGTGCTACATTTAGCACTTTGAACAGTTATTGGTGCAAATAAAAAAAACACGCTATGTAACTATTGAGCATTCTGTTGTGCAGGCTACCAGACATACCTGTTTTAAACGTTTTAATGCACAATTCATTAACTGTATTGTGCATTTATCTCAGTGATAGCATGGTTTTGTCAGCATTATCCTAATTGCAGTGGGAGATATCTCGTTAGACATGCCAACCCTGTGGTACCAGGCTCAAATTTTTATGGCTGGGGAGACGTCCGTCATTAAATGAGTGTTTATAATAGATACCCGATTAGTGCATTTCCTGTGCTGGAGAAAAATGCGTGGATTCCCCCCACTTCTTAAGACCTATCTGGCTGGCTCACAGAAGTGCGGTGAATGCCTTTTGAAAAATGCAAGTCCTCCACCTGCAGTGGTTTTGCGCACTGCACTATGAACTTGGCGACACTGAGTTTCTTTTATTTACAATCGTGGGTTGACATCAGAGGCAAGTGATAACTGAATTGGTTCAGTCCCTAACTCTCTCCCATTTTTACCAAACAGTTGTACCTGGTGCAGTGTCGTTGTCCTTCCCCCCGCACCTCTGATTAGCACGTTTGGCTACGTACGGTGAAAAAGAAGTTCAACGTACAAATAACCCCGATGACCAACATGGTGCAGGCCATCATCCAGTAGTGGATTGGAAAATGGTTATAATTATATTGATCATTATACCAGCTGTGCTGCATTCAGATTTTGGTTTACTATTTTAGTAATTTACTTGTTCATTAGCATTCACAGTGTTGCAGTCGGATTAAAGCTTTGTTTCTTTACACTGCAACAACAACAACCGCCATTCGCCACTAAGTGGCGGTGACATCACCACGACGCTTGTGCCAGGCCAAGTGCACCTTGAGGCCACGTGAAGTGTCGAACGCCCGCTGGCAGGAGGTCACGGGGCAGACCCAGGTGCCACGGGTCGACTGACTGAGATGACCGAGATGACATCCGTGTGTACATTATTGCCCTTGGTTTGTGAATGCAGTTCTTAAAGAGAACAGTGCGGAAGTGGTGCAGCCGCTTCTCATGGGCTGTGGCACCAAGGAGCCCAAGATCGCACTGCTCTGCCTGACCTCGATCCAGAGACTCCTCTCACATGATGTCGTGTCTGAGGTAGGAGGTCCCATACACTGGTAGGAACCTCCTGGTTACACCAGCCCACAGGAGATTATTGTGTCCGTCCGTCGTGCAGGGAGGGGCTGGGTGGGGAGGGAGGGGCTGGGTGGGGAGGGTGGGGCTGGGTGGGGGGTGGGAGAAGAGGGGCTGGGTGGGGAGGGGCTGGTCACCCCGTGGTGCCCTTATAAAACTCAACGTTTAACCTACTCACGCCGGCTTGTGCCCGCCCTCACAGTCGGGCATATTTGCGGAATACACCACGCCGCCGTTGACCCTGGCCATTGACCGAGCAACCCAACGTTCCTACCAGCTCCCTCCGCAGGAATGTGTTTTCTGCTCCTCAAACGTTATGGGCAGCATAACTAAATCCATTATTGTGATGTATTTCTATGCTCCCATATCTACACCCTGTGCCTTGACCAGCGTGTTGAAATATGGTAAAAAAAACACCCTACAACCTGTCAGGTGTGGGGAGGCGCTCATGGAGCTGCTGATTGACATTTACATGTAGCACACTAGTTGTAATTCATGTATATATTTGCAGGGGATTTATATATCTGAGTAACTTGACTCGCATTTTGCAATTGTCTGACTATATTGTGACATTCCCTGATTTATTAATTTATGTATGTATGTTTGTACACACTCTGATATATAGGTTGAATATGAGTGTGTCTATTTGGTGTATACGTGTTGTGTGTGTGTGTATATTGTGGTGAGCGGCAGTACAGTGGTTCACACACTGCACTATGAACCCTGTGACCTGAGTTTGATTTCTTGCCACAGATAACATCAGTGGCGTGTGATGTATGAACCGGTCCTGTGCCACCACTAGGTCGATTCACTCTTAATTGTGTACCTGGTGCAGTGTATAAACATCAACACTGGGGAGAGATATGTGGCCGAACACCACCCTATCGCGTGCCATGGTAACTTTAATAGGTGTGCACTAACAGCACTTTTCCCAAAAGCCTATGCAGACTATATGGGGGATATTTGTCTTTGTTTTTCAGACATGGCACTGAGATTCATTGTGAACATTCTGCACAAAAGCTGATCTAATTTTGTCACGTAACCTTTTGTGAATTAATTGTATAAAGTGGAATTGCAATTGCTTGTCCACAGCTTTGCTGTTTGTTTTGCGCACTGTTTACAATCTGTGCAGGTGGCAGCTGTGAATCTCATCAACACGCTGTGGCAGCTGATGGAGAATGGGCTCGAAGAGCTCAAACTGCTGCAGACCGTCCTGGTGCTGCTTACGTCCAACACGGTCGTGCATGACGAATCTCTGGCTAAGGTGGGAGATGCCATTCCTAATCAAAGAGATGCCAGTTTATTTACACTGCGCTGTTTATTTGGAAGACAGCATCAACGTACAATTGAAGATGCAACCCTAAAAATCATTTTTTCTTTTATCTTATTGAAACCATACCCAGGCTGTGTATGCCATGCTGCCCGACGCAGGTTTAAACTTTTGTTAAAATCGTATCTGTTTAAAATGGCTTTCTCTCTTTAGTTATTTTCAAACGTCTTTCTCACTTCTTTTTTCCTTGGTTGATGTTTAACTATTTTCGTCTTTCCGTGCATAGTGCTCCGAGAATGATTGTTTAAGGGCGCTTGATGAATTTAAACTATTATTAACTATAAAAAGACTTCAAAGTGCCCTTTAAGCACACACCTTTAATCCGTGGAATGTTGGTGACATCTCTACAGTGTACACCTGCTGTACTTTTCTATTCAACATGCACCTTGAAGTCGCTTGTCATTCACGAAACTTCAAAACTCATGTTGAACAGCCCGGGACAGAGAGATCAGCTTAATTTTAGCTGTTTTGTTTTGGATCTTCGTTTAATAAGTAATTGTATTTTAAAATCCAGACAATAAATCACAATAATTCAATGCTGCACAGAATAATATTGTACATGAAAAATGTATATGGAATGTGTTTGACAAATATCTTTTGTCAGAAAATCAGTCATCCCTGAAGTTTTGTCTTCAGAAGAAACACATTGGTTTCATGGCTTATTGTATCTATATCACAATGCTTTTTGTTATCTGTCTGATTCAGTGGTTTTTGGTTTCCTGTAAACGCCTGCAACTGCGCTTCCTGTGTGCAGGCCATCGTGCTCTGCTTCAGACTGCACTTCACCAAGGACAACATCACCAACAACACAGCTGCTGCTACCGTACGGCAGGTGGTCACGGTGGTCTTCGAGAGAATGGTTGCTGAGGACCAGCTCGGTGCAGGTAGAAAATCGGCGTGCTTCTCGCTTATTTGTGCTCTGCTGTCTCATTTGTACGTACATATGTATGTTGAACTTCTAGACGCAAGTAGCCAATCGTGCTAATTGAAGGTGCGGTTCTTAAAGAGAACAGCGCGGAAGTGGTGCAGCCGTTTTTTATGGGCTGTGGTACTTAGAAGCCTAAGATCGCACTGCTTTTCCTGACTTTGAGCCATTGGCTAAAACATTTCTTGTTGGTACCACTGATGGTGGCACATGCTAATAATGATTGTCTTGAAGAATGTTATCACTAGATCAGAAAATTGTCTGATAGCAAGGTCGCTATGGTAGCTGTTGATTATGAAAATGGCATTAAATGATGTTAACTACCATAAGCATGATTGATAAAAAATATATAGTTTTTATATAAATTAAATGTCCACAGAATATGATGAAACACCCATGGAATATAATTGCATCTACAAAAGAAACAGTATATACGCTTAGCTTTTACTGCCCATGGTGGATACTGCTTAGGATGATTACTGGTCGTATTTGCCACCCCAGGTGGTACTGGACCAACCCCGTTGGATTCATGGGATACCTATTGCAACCCTAATCCCTGTAGTCATATTTGAAATAAATGCCAGTGTTCCATATTAGATTCCAGTTGGATAAATTGGTGAGTGTTTTGTAGTCAGGAATGTTGCATGTATGAGGTAGTGAAGTATATCCAGTCTTGTTTTTTTAATGGATTTTAGGCCAAATGCTTGCTCTCTTGCTATGTATTGTGATTGTTATCATCATTACCGTGTATTATGCCAGCCATTTAACATTTCGTTCGATAGCTAAATTTAAGTTTAGACTTCTATATGCACATACTAGTTGCCATTGTTTTACACACATCTTTTCTGTTTCATAAAAGCCCAGCGTCTGTTACAGTGGGAGGTCACACGGGGGTGGGGAGGGGGTCGGGTATGAGGGGGAGTCAAGAGGAGGGGCCGAGATGTGTGGGTGACAGTTGTGGTGGGATCACTGGCTTTCTCATTTTAACATTTTATCAACTCCTTTTTCAGGTTTGGTGACTATTGATGCATCCAGTCACATTGTTGGAAACAATACGAGAAAACCGCCTACCTCTTTTAAACCATGTGCCAAGGATGCTTACCTGCTGTTCCAGGTACAGAATAATTTGCGCGTGCCTTTGACGTACATTGCGTGACATTCGGGCATAGGGTAAACTCTTATCGCTAAACAAGAACAGTAAGCATTGGTCTGTTTAACACGTAGGCTTTCGCGACCAATGTTATTCATAATCAACGTTTTTGGGTTTAGATCGCGTTATTTATAAATGTGTCGTAACTCTCCACCGCCCGATGATGCTGGATGCAATTACCAGCGAAACGTCGTACTCAAATTGTAAATGTTGTGGTTTCACGCTTCAACACACCGGTGGGCTAAAGCAGTGAACTATTTGTCTTTTGTCAACGTGACACTTTTTTACTGATTGGCCGTGTCGGGTGGTGGAGGGTTACGACACATTTATAAATAACGCGATCTAAACCCAAAAACGTTGATTATGAAAAGCATCAGTCTCTTGGACGGAGTGTAATTTATATTGTTTTATGAAAGGATGCCTCATTTATTTTTCCAGCTAGACTGATTTATCGGCTCATTTTTACATTCAGATATGCTGCCTTCATTATGCATGCAAGATTACTTCCTGGTATATCAGCAGCACTGCTTCATTTCAGTTGACCTTTACGCAAAGAGTCTGAAAACGCCGTTACGTATTTCATGCTGGAGTGAAATAGCACATTGGCAGCAATGTATAACCTAGTAAGATTGTATTGTGACTTGAGTTATTGTTTTCTGTTGTTTGTACGTGCCAGTGGCTGCTTTGCTGCTGCTTCCTAAATGTGTTGATGTAGATAATGGGAATTGTGTGCGCGTAGCCAGGACCTGTGCCAGCTAGTGAATGCGGATGCACCATTTTGGCTGGTGGGCATGACTGAGATGACCAGGACATTTGGCCTGGAGCTCCTCGAGTCTGTCCTCAATACCTTTCCACAGGTGTTTCTACAGGTAAGTCGGCCTGGAGTTGAAGGCTGTGGTTAGAGAGTGGAGTTGGGATGAAGGAAATGTTTAATTTAAGGAGCTTTTGTGGACTGAACCTGCAATGGTAATATCTGGTCGGCATAGCTTAAAGGACGATGCAGTATAAATTAAATGAGTTTGGAAGCTTCATTGATGAGAAAATCTAATTTAAAGATAGTCAAGTGTATTATTATTATTTAATCTTTATCACTGTAGTGACATCACCGTAATCTAACAATATTTTTTTTTACTTATGAAATTTCAATTTAGAGTCTCAGCCCAGGACACACAGCTTCAGTACCTATGTTCAAGACAACAATTGTAAATGTTGTGGGTTTACTCTCCAACACACCTGTGTGTTGAACTCGTAACGAATTAGCATGTTTTGTTTCCGTGACAAACCTTACTAATGGTGGCTGTGTCGGGTGGTGGCGGATTTAACGACACAAATTTACACGATCTAATCCAAAAAACCTCTGTTATGGATAACATTGGTCGTGAAAGCCTTTGTGTTAAACTAAGGCAACAGCTATTTGTTTTTTTGGGTTGCAACCTTATTTAAGACTGGGACAAAGCCTGCCAGTTGATATTGAGTGGAGATGGCAGTTGCTTGACACATCTCCCATGCCTGGGTATCATGGCTGTGATCTCCTCCCTGTTCACATAATAACCTATGAAAATGTATTTCGTTTTAAGGGCAGGTTAAAAAACTCACATGTTTAAACTTTGTAAAATACTTTATATATCTTCAGCATACAATGATGTCACTATACATGTATGTGCAATGTTATTCGTTGCCTTAGAAACTTGTTGGTCTTTCAAGTTCAGGTGTGCCACTGCCTATGTCCAGTGCTCTGTTCAATTGGGCTTCCTAATTCCATTGGTTGTTCTGGACTTGATTTATACTTCTGTGAGGCACGATATCAAATGGTGATGATGAAACTCAAGCCCCTTGCTCACCATCCGTGCTGGTTTTTGGTGTGTGGCTCTTACCTCATTGCAGCACATGGAGTTTGCCTTCCTGCTGAAGGAGCGCGTGTGCCCCCTGGTCATTAAGCTGTTCTCACCCAACATCAAGTTCCGCCACACTTCGGGATCATCGTCATCCTCGCCCGGGCCCAGCGAAAAGCCCTACTTCCCCATCTGCATGAGGTTGCTGCGCGTCGTCTCCATCCTCATAAAGCACTTCTACAGCCTTCTGGTGAGAGTGCCACCATGCCACGGCGATGCTCCTCGTGTTTTCAATTTGCCGGATAGGATTATAAGCAGATGTCCACAGCACCTTGTCACAAGTGTATAAATTACGGAATTTATAAAAAGCACGTGTTGCACCAACCGCGGTGGGGAATTTCCCGACAGGTGACGGAGTGCGAGATCTTCCTGTCGCTGCTCGTCAAGTTTCTGGACGGGGACAAGCCGGCCTGGCTACGCGCGTTGGCCGGGGAGTCCCTGCACCGCCTGTGCGTTCAGCCCAGGCTGCTCAGGTCGGTGGAGAGTTTGTGTGTGCGAGTGTGTGGCAAACGTCAGTGGTGATTTAACTGAACCAGTCCCGGGCCTCCCTGAGGCCAACATAGGCCTGAAATGATGGCCTGGTGCGGTGGGAAAACACAAGCACAAGGGAAACAAAGGTGGCCGGATGTGGTGCCTAGTCACATTGCCCCCTAGTCTGCTGTCCCTGTGTTAGAAGCTGCTTGCTATTTTATTGTTGCTAATTACTGAAAATTACAATTCTCTTCGAGATCGATATGATTTATTCTGGTTATTACCCATTTGTTTTTCTTAACTTTATTATCGCTGCTTTGTTTTTGCTGCTAATTTGTTCTAGCATTTTTACGAAACACTTATGTAACAGTTCCCTTGAATCCAATCGTGTAATTACTTGTTTATCTCCATTATAATTAGTATTTATTGTCATGGTTGAGCTGCTTCAATTAGTGAATGCTGGCTGCCTACTTTAGATATACAGGGGAGTATAGACATTTGGATTTGAGTTTTTTTTTATAAAAAAAATTGTAAAAATATAAATTAGTTAAATCTTGAATGGTACATGGATCATCTGAAACCTGTTTTAGGTCCTGGAAGAACCTTCCAATTTTAAACCAGTTGAAATCTAGTGCAGCCAGAGAATTACATCCCCTGTCGTATTTATGGTACCCGCCATATACAAAAAAATTAAACTGATGAAATTAAGGTTATTTTTCTTGATTTGAAGCTTTCGTGACTGCATGAATCCATACTCTTTGGTTATTTCGGTAAAGTCACGTATGTAGAAAAAATAAATTAAAAATAATATATCACGACGTTTCGATTGCAACACAAGCGGTCGTCCTCAGGTGAAAAAAATAATTCAGCAGTGGAACTGCAGAACCAGGAAGAAACACAGCGAGAGAGCTGTTACAACAAGACGTTATATATGTGGCGAAGAGGCAACCAGGTGGGGTCTGAGCTGGAAAGGAATTCCATCCCCGCACGCAAGCACGTCAGTTGTGTTAATGGGAGAGATTAGGGAGAGAGAGATTAGGGAGAGAGATTAGCATGAAATGAGCTTCCGTCGCCGCATAAGAGTATCACCCCCTGCATATGCCCACAACAGCAGTGTTAATGGGAGATTAGCACTATGTTGATGGGAGAGATTAGGCAGAGAGATTAGAGGGATTAGCAGGTTAATGTCATGTCTATGTGTAACACAAGCTGCGGCACTGCCAACTGCGCTGTGAGAGGCAAGCGCGTCCACGCAAGAGAACCACCGCAACGGTGGTCGCGCCAGTGAGACACCCAGCCCATCACACAGCCAGAACCATCAATACATCGAGGCTAAGGGAGCAGAGGTGGCTATGTTAGTGAGACCCCAGCACGTTAATGTAGAGGCACCTAACAGGGCAATGCAACTCAGAGAGTTATTTTTCTGTGTCGAAGGCACAGTTGTCAATATGAGCACAACACATGTTTTTGATGACCATCCTGTGTTGCAAAACAATTATCTTTTTTAATTAGGAATCTCGCATCTGACTGACGTGTTCTAACCAGAGCCTGATGCCTTGTATTTACTTGTGCTTGTAGGTGCTTTTGCCAGTCTTACGATATGAAGGAGCACTCCACCAAGGTGTTCCGTGACATCATCAATGCGCTCGGCTCCTTCATCCAATCGCTCTTTATAAACTCAACCTCGGGGGGTGCGTCCTCGGGATCCGTGGGGCCACCAAGTAAGCAGCTGTCATCCCCGCAAAAATATTCCATGTCGTGTACACACACATCACTGCCTTTTTGAATACCCAACTGTCGGCTATGGATAACTTAGGTAATGGGTGAGACCTACTGATATCATTGGCGTCATCAGCTCGTTGTGGCTATTAGAAGTTTTCTCACCTTCACGAAGCACAATATGTGAGCGGCCATCATTTTTAAGTGGGGCCAATTAATCGACGACAGAAAAGATGAACGTTTAAAATGTTTTGACAATCGACTTAATTAACTTATCGTCCGAGTTCTCCATTAAACCTATAAATTTCGCGAGAACATGAGCTGCGGTAAGCGTCAGAGAGAAACCGCGCTTGTGTGAATTGCTTTGTATGTCTGTAGAACTTCTTTTGCGCCGTACGTAGCCAACCGTGCTCATCGGAGGTGCTGATGATGATCCTGCTGGTTGTGATGTTCCCTTCCAGCTGCCCAGACGGCTGGGAGCACGGCAGGCACCCAGGGGGGAGCAGCGGCCGCCGGGGGCCCCATGGGGGGCGTGACCCCGCAGCCGGCTTTCGAATACCGCGGCGTGTGGATCCCCATCCTCAGCGTGGCCGTGCAGGGCACCACGCGCTCCATCTAGTGAGTGTCGTGTCCCTCGCTAGGTTTTCCGGAATATAATTTTTCATGGTCTACGATATTTAATTTCACGATAGAACGCTTATCACGAAAACATTTGGCCTATCACGTTTTTATCGTCTTGTATTTGTGCTATAGTGCACTTTGAACACAGATAATGATTGCAAATTAGTAATTCAACTGCAGTTCACTCAATATATGCCTGCCATGTGACTGCTAATCATTGCAAATTTACAATCGACTGTATAACACTTGTAACACACATGCTGTCAGAAAATGATGACATCATATAGCCGTCGTCCTCTCAGTTGCTTTAGTAAACGTTTTACATAGCACTCAATGGGTAATTGTTCTTTTTCATCACTTAATAATTCTTATTGTGAACATTAATTTTTCTCGCTTAATGCCTTTTCACACAATACGTTTTTGCTTTAACTCGTTTTCTTCTGAGGGGACACTTCGCACAACATGGAAAGCGATCGTTATAACGCGGTTTCTGCGCGCCGAGCAATTTTTTTCACTTAATTGTATTTTCACTTAACACGTCACTTTTCAGGAACGCATCTGCCCGTGTTAATGATGAATTACTGTATTTCGTCAAGAAATAAAATATTTCAGGATGGTTAAATGGGCAAAGAAAATCTTTGTATGACGATATTTAGCAAATTTAATTAAACCATTATCGTGGATGTTCTATTGTACGATATATCGTAATATCGCTGTCTCGCGAAAACCCGAGTTGTCACTCGTAGCTCGCTAGCCACGGCTAAGCATTTAAAATAGAAACAGGTGAAAGATCTAAGTTTTTGTGAATTTTTTAATAATTGTTAATTATTAAGTTATTACAGTTACGTGTGTGTTATGATTTTGCAATTTTCCAGTAGTTTTCCAGCCGCAATCAAACAACACCACTGCTCTTCTGTTCAATCCTCAAGGGCAAATTTGTAGTCTTGCATAATGAAGAGTTTTCTTTGGGAGGATAGCCAACAACACATAACAGTCCCCTTATTAACTGCCTTTTCAGTCATGTACTTGTAAACAATGCCAGGAACAATATCTGTAAAAAACGTGTTCTACGAATGTTTCCATACACAGTGCAAGTTGCTGTTTCACTGGTCACAGTGCGATGTTACACAATCAATTTTGTGTGCACAGCAACGGCTGTTCTGACACTGGCTGTTGACAGAAGAGCAATTTGACAGTCAGACCATCTTCAGCTTCCCGCTGTCAAATATCGTGCATACAGCAGGAAGAGTGCGTGTATATGTACACACCTGTATTAATCCACTGCTCAATGATGGCATCCCCACACTCTGTGGGTCATGGGAATTATTTGACAAACTTCACCATAGTGTTCTAGATTTGAAGCTTTCGTGACTGCAAGGATTCATATTCTTAGGTTTTTTCGGTAAAGTCACGTAGGTAATTTTTTTAAAAATAAAATAAAAATAAAATAAAAATCACGACGTTTCGGAGGCAACACAAGCTTCCGTCTTCAGGTGGAACAGTCACAGCACGATGGCTGTATTACCTACGTGACTTTACCGAAAAAACCTAAGAATATTTTCACCACAGTGGTCAGTGCAGGTTTTGTGAAGGCGGGGAGCATAAACGTGGTAGGCCGTTTTGTACAGTACTGTCTTCTGCTGCCCAAAGCGTTGCACCGCAGCAGCCTATAGCGCTTGTTTTCACGCATGGTCGTCACCCATCCATGCACTTTCCAGGCAAAATTATGCTTTAGGCTGACGAGCTTATTATGTGCATTCTGGCTGAGAGTGTGTCCACAATTATATTCAAGTTTGTGCTATCTACTCTGCCATATTGCTGCCATTTAGTCTCCTGTGTGCTGCTTGAGTATTGTTCCAACAATTGGATAGTGCTGTGATGCAGTAGAATTTTCTCTCATTCTCGTGTTTCTCCCCCCCCCCCCCACTTTCCTCAGCCTGGAGATGTTGGATAAGGTGGAGGCCCCCAGCATCCCGGATGGATACTCCATGTCGGTGGCCTTCAGCTGTCTACTAGACCTGGTACGGGGGGTGACGAGCATGATCGAGGCCGAGATGGAGGACGAGAAGGCGGGGAAGGCTGTAGCTGGCGCTGCGAAGGGCGACACCATCAAATCACGTAGGTCTTCCGTTCCTCTTGGTCGCACACATTTTATTTCTAGATTTGAAGCTTTCGTGACTGCAAGGATTCATATTCTTAGGTTTTTTTCCGGTAAAGTCACGTAGGTGACTTTGCCCCCCCCCCGCTGTTGTGGAGCAACCATGTCGACTTCCTCCACTAATGAAAGAAGACAGGTCATGGGACTCTCATGTGTTTTCGAGTTGCACCGCGTGATCTCTGACGTTAAACGCTCCACGTGCTGAGAGCTTCTTCTGGAACCTTTTGTCGCTCGGATTATGCAGGCTTAAGGGCTTGTGCTGGTGTTGTCAAATTCTTGACTATGATTGGACTCACCTCTCTAATTTAGGCTGCCTCATGTTCTTTTGCGTCATTTGGATGTAACCAGAGTGGCCAGAGAAAGCTCGCCACGCATCATCACTCAATTGGGATTACGCATAGCAGATATAATGCCTATTTGCAGGCCAGGTGCTGAAGTTGCCTTTTGCCCACAGGAGGACAGCTGCTACTGGGGGTCCCCTTTCACACATTTCAGATGAGATGTCAATTAAAGGGCCCGATAACAAAAGCAAATAATCATAATGACATTTGCCTGCAACCGATGGTGTCATTGCACATTTTGTCCAGTGAGCAAATTCTGGCCATTTTGGACTGCAGATTAACTTCAACATGACTTTACGTAACATTGTTCTCTTCATAAGAATCAAATAAAATACGTTTTGTAATGGGTTTTTATTTGAAACAGAAAACATTGCGTTATTTTAACATTGTGATTGACCTTGAGATGCAATGTGAGTATTCTGCAATTTAATAAGGTATGCACAAAACACAAATGGCCCCGTAAATGGCAGAGCACGCATGAGAGGCGCGGGTTGAATATTACGTGCGGGAGGGTTGATGGCGTCTGATCAATGTTTGCCCATCGGCGATTAACACCTCATGCTATTTCTTAGCGTAAGATGTGTGCTGTGTTTACTTCTCAGCAAACAGAGCCGTGTGGGAGGAGATGGTGAATGCGTCTTGGTGTGGACTTCTGGCTGCCCTTTCACTGCTCTTAGATGCAAGGTGCTCATTCAAATTCTTTGCGACAAATATGGAAAAACACGCATGTGGCATGAGTGGCAACAGGATGAGAGCGTTATTATCTCTGAGCTTATTGGCAAGCAGGTTATCCTCACTGCTCGCAACAATCACGGTGTGCGCAGTACGGACGAGACGGCCACGGAAAACATTCTGAAAGCGGAGACGGCGATGTCTGCACTGAGCGGCAAGCTGCACCTGAAGACGCCACGCGATGCCTTCATCACAGCCGTGTGCAAGGCCTCTCTCCCGCCGCACTACGCCCTTACGGGCCTTAACACCACCGTCACGGCGACTGTCAGCAAAGGTGACGGGTTTTTCTGTTGCGCTTGCTGTCACCGGTCGATATCCTAATCACGCCACCACTTGATTGCCACATCGTCAAGTTTCAATTAATCATTTTATTTCACATTCTAGCCTCCCGTGAGGGCCACTCCTGGGCTGTTTGTTAGCTCTGCATACTGCGCGAGGATGGACTATGTGAATGCATTGACTGTGTGCTCAAAACTACTTGAAAGAGAAGAGGTGATTTGAGCGTCTTGCCAGGTCGAGAATATTCCCCTCTAGTATCTGATTAGTGTGGCTAAAGTGCTTGCAATGATAGATTATACAATTTGCAGGCGGTTTAGAAGTGGTTGGCCTCATGTGACCACTAAACATTTTGTATGAAGTCGCAGACCGTAGGTTCCCCACTCCTGGTTGCATAAGACTTACGCATTTCCTAAAGACATGTTAAATAAGTAATGCTTGTAAACACAATGTTATTCATGGTATCAATGCTTTAGTATAAATAAATAAAACTGTTGCACATGTAAAGGAGACCTGACTGGTGGTTAAATGCAGACCCCCATAGTGCAGGAATTCGCTCTTATCAAGTGACCATGAGCAACTGGTCATACAACTTGCTACTCTGCAGCATATGTTTTCCATTTGGTTATATTGTGAAAAGAAACTGGCACTGGCGCGGCAATACAATGTGCTACTCGCAGCAAGCACATCCCATGTGCTGACGGTTTGGCTGCCCATAATAAAGGGTTATGATGAATGTACTTTCTATCTGGCACACGGGTGCCTGCTGAGGACACCGTGGGCTATGCTGTCGACACGCTGATCGGGACTTGTGCGTTCCTTCCATGCAACTTGGTGTTCGGCACATTGTTCAGTTCTCACCTTTCATCACCATTGCACACAGAAGCTTGTTTCCCACGTGTGCCCAACAGAGCATTTTCATGATCAGATGGGAATTTTCTGGAATTCCGATGTTTCCCATCCATCCGCCTGTCTCTTTTGGCCAGTGAGCGCGGTTGGCTATGTACGGTGCGAAAGAAGTTCAACATCAATACTGACAACCAGTGTAATGGTGGCGAAGTCGTTATGTTGGCAGTTCTTCGTGCGGTCAGCCTCACGGATCAACTGGTTTTGGTTTACGTTCGTCCAGCTCGCTATATTCGACATCCAGGTTTTGTTTGGGTGTCCTTTTTCTAGTCCCCACAATGGTGCCTTGTAGGATAGATTTGGAGAGTGTTGTTCTAAGACTAAATTAGCTTTGGGAATTTGCTGAAGATGTCACTAATAAGTATGTATTAGGACATGATATTTTCTGTTTATTATTCTTATTATTCGTTTGGTTGATATTATGGCTATATAATAACATCGTTAGTATTATTAAGTGACTGCATTGCTCCTGTACAGTTTCTTGGAAATATTCAACTGAGAAAGTTACTGAGTTAATACACTAAGTGGTATGTGCTAAATCTGTTGAACAGCATATCTATCAATTTGAGTGATTGGTATTGCAAGGGAGATATTCCACTAATTTACTGACCTTCACATTGTATTTTAAGCATTATGTGCTTATATTATCAGTTGTAGCAACGGGGTATTTAAGTTTTGTTCATGCATTGCCATGTTGCTCTTAGCATTTGATTAATGCAACAAATCCTATTGTATTACGCATCTAGTTTTCACAGTGTTGCATTAGTGCAAGTCGTTGCTTTTAACAGTATCTCCGCACCTCCGATTAGCGCTGGTTGGCTACCGATGCTGCAAAAGAATTTCAACATACAATGCATTGTGAGTAATCTCTCACTTAAATTTCGATTTAAAGTTTTCGTGACTGCAGGGATTCATCTTCTTGGTTCTTTCGGTAAAGTCACGTAGAATGGAAATAATAAATAATAAAAATAAAACATAATAAAATATTCTCACGACGTTTCGGCCACAACGCAAGCGGCCGTCCTCGGGTGAAGAACAGGTCTGTCGGAAAGACAGCGTCTGAATGAAAACACCACCAGGCTTGGCAGCGTATATTTATGCTGGGTTGTAGGGGGGGGGGTGTGTCGCGTGGGCCGGCTGCCATGCCTTGATGTTGACGCAGCGTTTTCGTCGGCGTTGCGGCCTACAGCGTACTCCATCCAGGGCCAGTCGGTGTTGGCCATCAGTCCGACGAGCGAGTCTCACCAGCAGGTGGTGGCCATGGGACAGCCTCTCTCCATGCAGGTGCAGGGCACCGTTGTGGTGAGGCTTTCCCTGCATCGACTTTCCCTGCTCCTAATCCGTGCTTCAAGGAAGATGCAATTAAGAAAGCAAATAACTCGTGTCATATAGATGTGTGACTAGGCTGTTGGCATGGAATGACGTGTGGATTAATAGATTTTTCAGCTTATGATACCTGCTTACATTTGTGCGTGTGAGGATCTGTTATTTACAATTAATGCGGAGTTTATACTCATAATATGGACGTGTTACGTTTAGGCTAATAGAGTGAACAGAAATCTCTAACCAGATATTAATTATAAACAATATGAATGAGATGGTAAAAATTTCACAAAATAACTGACTCGTGAATGCAATTAGGACAATTCACATCATCATGCCAGTGGGTGAATTGTTACATACCAACTAGTCTGTAACATGGGCTGCCTCACACATCATTTTTTTTTTTAATCTTGGTCCATCATCACTTTAGTGATGTCGCTGAATTGATTCATTCAAATGCGCCCAAGTGTTTTTTTAATCACAGTTATGCCGCTGGAGTGTAGAAATAATGCACCCGACTGTTTTATCATAAATAAAACTTCAAAAGCATGTGAGACAGCATAGGACAATCAGGCTAGGTACCTATCTACAAGCTGAGAGTTATTTGTTTTTGCTTGCATTTTCTTTTAATTGCATGGCAAGTGTTTATTTCCCCCTGCACTTTGGCATCTGTATCTTATCTGCCAACACATCCTTAAACCCATTTTCCTTTCGCCATGGGTTAATATTATACATGACGATTACAAATGCATGATAATCCTTCGTCAAGATTGTTTTTGGAGCGATGTCATTTTTTGTGTCCTGTGCCTTTTCCAGCTTGCGTGTAGGAAGTAAAAATACAGATAATTAAGACTAAATCTATACTAATGTAATGATAATATTCTACAGGTGATGCACCATAATTTTGTAAAAATGTTGATGAGCAAAAAAAAAAAACCTGTTTACCCATTCAGTTGTCACGTGTTTAAACAAATGTTTTTGAGCATCGCCTTTGCGGTGACATGAATTGTAAGTTCCATCGTGTGTGTCTTCGTTCGCGTGGCCCAGCTGACAAGCAAGAACATGCAGTCGATGCGCACGCTGCTCAACGTGGCTCATTGCCACGGCGCGGTGCTCGGCTCTGCCTGGCAGCTGGTGCTCTCCACCCTGCAGGTCAGCGTCATTCCATCTTCCACGCCCCACGGCACATGGCTCGTCACGTCTTGAGCATTGCACAGGGCTAGGGCCCACCCCCCCCCCTCTCAACCAGTATACAGGGTGACCCAAAAAAAACGGGCCCCGTGCACACGGGGCCTATTAGAGTTGGGGCCCGTTTTTTTTGGGTCACCCTGTATATACGGGGCAGCATCTCTTGGAATCTCTCATTTAATTGATACAGCAAGCGTGCTGTGACGGTTCCACCTGAAGACGGAAGCTTGTGTTGCCTCCGAAACGTCGTGATTTTTATTTTATTTTACTTTTATTGATTTAAATTTTTTACCTACGTGACTTTACCGAAAAAACCTAAGAATATAATAATACTAGGGCTGAGCCACAGGGACGAAGGCATAATCCCGTAGCACTGTTATTTTACGTTGATTCAAATTAACGATGTACATTTCGCCTAGATGAGGGCTTTGTGCTTAAGGTCACACGAAAACACCTCACGGTGGGCCACCGGAGACCGTATAATAAACCACTTTAGTAAGCGCTCTTTCAACGGAGGAGTATGAAAACTACACAAACTTTCTCCTGAAGCTCTCTCGTGGCTAGCAGACCTGGACATCGTCATTTAGCTTCTGAGCATATTGCCATATGTAAGAATAAAACTATTTTCTTGGATTTGTTCAGCCCCTAAAATTGCGAATAAATACTGGAAATAAATTTGTATACTGGCTCTATTAATGTCATCTTCAGGGCAGTGCAGCCTTCAGTGGAGTGGCAGTGTATAGATGATGTAGACACGTAGCTCCCCAGCAAGATGACGGCGTGCACTCGCGAGACATGCAGCATGCAATATGACAATATTGTGTAGATCATCAACACACGGGGTGTGTAAGGCAGTAGCAGCGTGGAGACTACACAGACACCTGGACTTTATTGTATGTATGTTGAACTTCTTTCGCACCGTACGTAGCCGACCGTGCTAATCGGAGGTGCGTGGAAGGACAACAAACTTAACACATCAGTTCTAAAGTAATGAGTTTTCAATCTAGATTTAAAAGTACATCACTCCGATGGCTTCCTAATAATGGAAGGAAGAGCGTTCCAGACGGCCGCAGAAGCGCATTTGAAAGTGACTGTCTTTGTTCGATGGTTAGCCAAAAGCTGATGTGAGGATGACCAGAGTTTGATAATAATGTTGTAACTATGGAGACACGTGGTCCGTAGTACGATATCCAGTGTGATTTTATGGAGACATGTGCCATGCAGTGCAGCAACACTGATACCACCCCCTGTTTCCACACTCTTGCGTCACCACCTATAATTATTAACAGTTATGTCAGTCCCTTGCTGCACGAAGACCGCTTCATGCCGTGTCCATTACGGGGATGTTTTGACCATGCTTCACCATGCTGGTCAGTGCGAGTTGGTGAAGTGGTGGACCCCATGACCGGTTCAGACACCATTCCACCAATGATGTTAGCCATGACCGGGAATCCACTCTGGGTTGTTGTGTTCATAGCACATTTGGGTGCTGGCACATCTGCATCACAACATCATCACATGACACAACATGCCGACACACCTCTAAACCAGGGCCAGGCTCATTTACTACGGCAAAAACGGCCAATCACAATGCTTGCTTACATAAAGAACTTCCCATGCCCGGCATATAAACTACCTTGACTTTACACTACTCTTTGGTTCTTTCGGTAAAGTCACGTAGGTATAAAATAAAATAAATTAAATCACGACATTTCGATTGCAACACAAGCAAGCATCATCAGTTGGGAAAAGCACCGCAAGAATTTTATTTGCTGAAGTGGGAATTTTTTTCTTGCTGTGGTTTTTTTCACCTGATGATGATTGCTTGTGTTGCAATTGAAACGTCGTGATTTAATTTATTTTATTTTATACCTATGTGATTTTACCGAAAGAACCAAAGAGTGTGGATCTCTGCAGTCACGAAAACGTAAAATCTACCTTGACTTTGTAAAGCATAACAAAAGGAATCTACTCTGGGTTGTTGTGTTCATAGCATGGTGCACTAACCACTCCAGTGTTCTCATCAATTCTAAATATATATTCAATGTATAATTTGGTAAACTGTCTATTGAATTTCAAGCAAATGTTTGCGTTCGATACATTGATGTAAAACTCAGATTACACTATGCTCGTAGTGTAATGGAGTATTTCCGTAATTACAGCATGTGTGTATATCCAACTAATGCGAGACGTGGTGCATTGCACAGCACTTGGTTTGGATCCTGGGACTGAAACCAGCAGCTGGGGGAGCTCTCAAGCCTGGAAGGACATCTGAAGGACCCAGCACGGTTTGCCTGATTTATTTGAAGTGTTTATATATATATATATGGGCTGAAAATATACCTGCAGTTTTTTGTATGCCTTACAGCAGTTTACACATTTCAGTTATAAATAAAGTTCTAAAACGGATCACAAAAATGTAGGTGGACATCATGAGGCTGTTGTTACCCAATCCCGATGCACGTAGTTTTATAAATGTGCTGGTAGGTATTGTAGAGTGTTTTTCTAAAGCGGCGCGTTGCGTTTACTAATGCGGGCACCTAATTGTGTCCATTTTCCTGTTCACAGTGAGTCATTCGTCATAGATCTACACCCTTGAATGTATCTTCTAGCTTGCATTTCTATAAGTTACATTGCACGAAATTGGTCTTCTCCCACATGGTGCATGTACAGCCTTTTGTCGATCCAATACTGGATGAGGACCTTCCCAGGCTATGCGAATTGTAGAGGTTATTGGTTGTAATTTATCACTGGTCAGTATGGGTTTGTGAAGGAGGGGGTAATGTGGATTTGAGAGCATAGAGTACAGCACAGCATGGATCTTGCTGTACTGTCTGCTGCTGCCTGCCACATGGCCCCACATTAGAATCTCATTTGAAAACATTCGTGTAAAAAATATGCTGCAGAGGAAACACCGAAAACGTTCCTGCTATCACATGGGTAGCCCCGCGGGTGTGGAGGGTTGGGTTTGCTGTGGAGTTCGACTCATCGCACTTTGAGCTCCCCCCCCCCCCCCATTGATATGACCTTGTTTTTCACTTGGCAGGTGCTGACGACAGCAGTCATGGCTGACCTGCCGGTCATCTCTAACATGCTGTCTCGACTCTTCGAGAGCTCCCAGTGAGTTTTCTGCCAGATGCACCCATTACAAAAAATCTGTCTTGTTCACAAATGAAATGTTAACGCCAAATACATGGACACTGTTATGTTATGTTACGTTTTATCAGACAATTAAGCTGCCCTAATGCATTGTTGTATCAGTGATGTAAAGGTAGACAAAACAAATACCTCTTACATTATGGATGTTCACTTAGGCTGTGTGTTCTGGGCTGTTTTAATGTAAGTTTGAAAACTTTGATAATGAGCAAAAAAAAACGTAACCTAGTCATTCTTCCTGCATTCAAGTGAAGTTACTTCCAAACGTTTTAAATGCATAATCCAGTGATATTAATTCAGTACAATGATGGAGTGCCTCACCATCTATATAAGTCTTTTTTCCCCGATTAACAAAAAGTGTTGGTCAGCCCAGGACATACGTCCATAAGATTATACCTGTTTTTTTTATTCGAGTGTTCCTTTTAAGTCAAGAGATTTTCGCCTGACGGCAATAATCGTGGCCATTGTCATCCTGCAGCAATGTAACGTTGCTGTCGACGCACATATAATACTAATTACACATTTCACGCGTACATGCCATGCATTTCATTTTCTTTTTCCCAATTGTGTCTACTGAGTGCTGCATTTACTGTTTTCGTGTCCACCTACAGCATGTGAAACGCACGGCTGCAAAGTCCGGGTTATGATGACGATGCTTATGTGACCACAGGTACTTGGATGATGTGTCTCTCCACCACCTCATCAACGCGCTGTGCTCCCTGTCCAGCGAGGCGATGGAGATGGCTTACGGCAACAGCAAGGTCAGGCATTCCGCATGGCACATCAATCCTTTCTGATTGTTTTATTGTTTGACCCAAATCACCCGCATATGCGCCCAATCCCGTCTGACCTCGGGATTTTCATGTAGGTCAGGTCTGGATGCTACTTGGATGGGTGACCACCGTGCATAACAAGTAAACCCGTAAAAACAAAGTTTTTCACTATAAATCCTTTATATGCGTGGCATCGAGGCGGCTAGAGTCCTCTCGTCCTCTGGCAGCATTAAATAATTGGTAATTAAATATTTTTTAAAAATTCCCTAAACAGTGTAAAATTTTGGAAAACATTTTTCACGAACATTAATTGTCACGCACAACGAGTCTGTGTGTAAAATGTCAGCTCGATTGGATCACGGGAAGTGGGTTAAAAAACGACCGAAAGATTTGCACGGTCATAAGCAAGCAAGCAAGTGAACTTAATATAAAGGATTTAAAAAAGCTGGAGGGTGTTCTCATAACTCGGGGTGCTTATTGCTAAATGTAATCTCTCATTTCCAAGTTTAAACAGCACCTCACTTTGTTATTGGATGTTGCTATTTCCTACTGCTCACTTTGTTGCAGTGTTTGCACCACTCATAATTAATATCCCCATTGAGTTTGTTTCCACTGTTGTTGGGGACACATGCTGCCTCATCCTGTTTCTGCCCTTCTTACCTCACGTTCACACAGTGCCGTTTCCTTCCCGTCAACCTCTCTCCCGCTGTGGCCCCTTCCACAGGAGCCGTCCCTGTTTGCTGTCGCCAAGCTGCTGGAGACGGGGCTCGTGAACATGCACCGCATTGAGATCCTCTGGCGGCCGCTCACGGGACATCTCCTTGAGGTAACCCCGAAACGACCCACTCCATTTTCCACCCCATTATGTATGCATATATGTTGAACTTCTTTCGCACAACAAACTAATGCGGAGGAAGAAAACATACTGTAGAGCGAGTGCCCTGTGCTCTTTAACAAAAAAACATTGCCATATTCATTGTTTAGCTTGCATTATATACTCTTTGGTTTTTTCGGTAAAGCCACGTAGGTAAAAATTTTTAAAAAATAAATGAAAACAACTAAATTAAATCACGACGTTTCGGGCGCAACACAAGCGTCCTTCTTCAGGTGGGGACAACGTAGCGAAAGCACAACCGCTTAAGTGTTGCGCCCGAAACTTCGTGATTTAATTTAGTTTTCATTTATTTTATTTTTTACCTACGTGACTTTACCGAAAAAAGCAAAGAGTATGAATCCTTGCAGTCACGAAAGCTTCAAATCTCGCATTATATTTTAACTAAAAAGACAAATTGGTTGCTTTTACACAATATTGGAATATTTGACGTATTGCTTTTCCAATGGCCTCTGTATTTTTTCAAGTGTCACGCATTACAGGTAAACTGAGGTTTGTGTGCAATTTGAATTGGAAGTGCTACTATGGCGGTCAGTGCAGAGCCAGAGCTATGAATACTGAAATATTCAATTTAAAAATGGTTTGCGCCGAGGAACTAAATGTAAACAATACTAGTACCTAACATATATGAAAACGTGAAATTATATTTTCCGTGCCTAGCCTTTACAATTATTTTCCCAATACCCTTTTGTTTCGCAACCCAGCTTGCTTGTTTTTGCAGAGCCACTTTCCACTGTATTTTTCCCCTTTACCCAGCTTGTCAAATGGAAATGCACCTTTTTGTGTAAAAATTAAGTGCCTGTGAGCTATTCCATGCTTTGAGTTGCCGTTCTCTTTACTGCTCTGTGTATAACCTATTCCCTTTTGTCCCTTGCATATCTGCTCTCCCACATTCCTATACAACAGAAGGTAAGGCTAGCCTTATAAAGCCCCTGCATACAAATGCGACTAAATTATTGTCAACTCGGGCTCTTTCAACGTTCCCGCTTTTGTCGTATTGGTGTTCGCACTCGCTTGTATGTACGCGTTATTTTTTTACTTTATGAAGTAACTGCACTGCATGTACCTGTGCATGTTCTTGCCCTTTCAGTTCCTCTATTGTGCTTCGGGATTTTTTTCTTCTTCTAATAGTGACGGTGGTTTGCAGTGACTTTGTTATGCTTTACAAAGTCAAGATGGTTTATATGCCGGGCATGGGAAACTTTCTATGTTAGCAAGCGTTGTGCTGGGCCTTTTTGTGCTGGAATACATGAGCCTCGCCTTGGTGTAGAGACTTGTCGGCGTGTCGTGTGATGATGTTGTGATGCAGGTGTGCCAGCACCCAAATGTGCGTATGAGGGAGTGGGGAGCCGAGGCAATTACATCGCTCATTAAGGAAGGACTCGCCTACACCCACACACCCCCACTGTCAGAAAACCAGGTCGGTCTGTTCATTGGATTTTAACATCATACCTTAATGTCCTTTGTGTTTTCATGTCTCCGATAAGATGTACAATTGCCAGTTATGTCCACGCGGCACCTGGGGTCATGTTGATAAATCCCTTTGTATGTGGGCTTTAAACTTTTGTTAGCATCGATTGCGTGTATCCATCCCATTTGTGTTGAGCAGCGACAGTGCGATGCTGTATTTGAAAGGTACATTTTATTCACAATGCCCGATATTGTGTAGCTTTTGCAGAATCTCTAGCATGTCGGCTTAATATTATATATTAATGTTATGAATATCTAAACAAAAACAGGATTAGTAATTTGGATTTTCAGTGTGAATTTTTGATATAAAAAAAAAGTGAATTACACTATATCCTAATTAAACATGTCTTAGTGCCAACAATCGTGACGCCACACAATACCATGTGACACCACTTGCGATTTCATCGCTTTGAACACTGTTATATTATTTTAGAATAAAAAAAAATCTACAAAGTAAACAGAAAATTTACAAAGCAAACTATCACTGCTAAACTCGAAAACTATTAAAAAAAACATTGTTTTCTTTTTAAATTGGAAACATGCTTTTTCATATAATAAAAAATATATATTTAATGTACATAGCCTTGCGAACAAATTGGTTGTGGGCAGGGGGTGATGGCGAACGCTGGGTGTTGTGCTCTAGAGGTTACAGGCCATGCTGCTGCTCCCGCTGCGGGAGCTGTCGTCCATCACGCACGGCGACATCCGGCAGAAGCAGCTGGAGTGCATGCTGCAGCTGTTGGAGAGTAAGGGGGAGAGCCTGGGACCTGGCTGGCCACTGCTACTCGCCGTCATTGGGGCTATTCGCAACGACCAAGGGTACGGGCCCCATTTCGTGCCACCCACAGCTTATGACATCTTACACCACTGTCAACACAACGCAATGGAGCTGGCCTGTCCGGTTGTTTAAGTAGTCGAGTACTATGTATAATATAGGTTGTTTTGGGTTAGATCACGTAATTATAAATATGTCGTAAAACTCGGCACCACCCGACACAGCCAATTAGTAAGGTCTGTCACGTAAACAAAACATGCTGATTCATTACTAATACAGCACACCGGTGTGTTGGAGAGTAAACCCATAACGTTGACAATTCGAGTACGACGTTTCGCCAATAATTACAACTAGCATCAACAGGTGACAGCCAGATTTGTGGATAAATCCTCCTATTTCGGTAGTAAATAGAGGGGTAAATATGATCGAGTACTCCACTAATTATTGGTTCAAGTTTTCTACCAATTGGTCGATAATGGCAACTCCATAGTGCAATATCATTGTTTGTATAAGTAATCAGAAGCGACTTTTGTTGCGTTATAACTGCGCTGCCAGTCTAGCCTATGAATGATTTAATCTCTTTGTGTGTGGACTTGGCCTCAAATGGGTACCTGGTGCAGTGCTTAAACATCGACGCTAGGGAGACAAAGGCGGCCGGGCGTGGTACTGGCCACCCACCCATCCCCTCATGTGCCGTGCCGGCCTTCATAGGTGCTACTCGCTAACAGCACTTGCCCCAACAGTCCGTTAAGCCTACACAGGGGATCTTTTTCTTTGTTTTCTGTCTTTGTGTGTGTGTATAGGGAGTCTCTGATCCGCACCGCATTCCAGTGCTTACAGCTGGTGGTGACGGATTTCCTGCCGACCATGCCCAGCTCGTGCCTGCGCCTGGTTGTGGAGGTGGCAGGCAGCTTCGGTCTGCAGAACCAAGAGCTCAACATCAGCCTCACATCTATTGGCCTCCTTGTAAGGAAACCCCCACGGACCAAGCACCATTTCATTGCTAAATCAGGAAGATAGAACCCATAGCAGAACAGACCCGTCTGATATACAGGATGTTCATAAATATAATAGGGTTTTTCTTTCCCCTTTTTTCTAGCAAACAAAACTGAAACCTTTTTACAAGGATTCATGTCTGCATTAACCACAATACTTGCAGTCAAAATGCAAACAAAAAACACACTATGATAATATATGCATTGTCCTTGAAAGTGATTGGTCCACACCAAGGGATGGCTAAATGAATGATATATTCATAAATATATCATTAATTTATTTATAATTGTAAGACAGCAGTTTGAGCTAGGTCGATAAACATACACAAGTGTACACAAGTGTACACTTGGTAATATGAAGATTTTGCCACGTGATATTTAATGCCTCTAAACCCCCAAATTGTCTCCACTGGCATAAGTTGTATCGATATTTGACCGTCCCAGGAGTTTTTCAAAATCTCGGGAGTGTCTTCTTGAATACTTATGTTCCGTGCTGCTGAAGATCACTCAGTCGTTTCAGGTTTTTTCTGGCAAACACTTTTTCTTTCACATAACCCCAACATTAAACCGCGCCAGTTCTAACTGCCGCTTAATTACGACTGTTTAGGAATGGATGATACTTTCATGGATACCCCGTATCAACCTGGGGTCAATTTCAAATGTAATTGTGTAATTCATAATGAGTTTTAGCCACGTGGTAATTTCAGCCAACATTGGTGCTGTAATTGTAATTATCATTGAACCCAAGTCTGCTGTGTATATTACGAGTGATGGACTTTGCCTGCTTTCTATCAACTTCAGTGTCACACTCCATATAAGGCAGATTACTCGCTTCACCGATGATAGGGATCATAAGAGCTCAGTACATGATTTAAAGCAATTTATAACTTTAGGCTAATCCTATCCTTTGAGTTAAACCAAGAAAACTCCGGGCCATAATTTTTCAGATCCCAACTTCAAACATTTCGTTTTTCGCATATTTCTAGTTGTAAGCTGCTACTCAACTCTATATATCTGCTTTCTATCCTTTCTATAACACATTTAAAATTGTTAGTGGAGATTTTCTACACGCGTATATGAATTTGTGTGTTCAAATGGTGTTAAAATGCATTACCGTTAATCGACCCTTGCCTCCACCTTGCAGTGGAACATCTCGGACTACTTCTCGAGGCGACGGGAGATGGTTGAACATGCGCTGGAGCAAGAGGAAGCGCAGAAGCTGAAGCGGCGCACCGCCGAGAAGGACGGGAAACACGAAGAAGAGGAGGAGGAAGAGGAGCAGCAGGGTCTTGACGAGAAGGGGGCAGAGACGCCCTTCGCTGCGGCGCCGCCGTTTGACCGCCTGTGGCTGACGCTGTACTCGCGCCTCGGCATGCTGTGCGTGGACCCGCGGCCCGCCGTGCGCAAGAGCGCCGGGCAAACCCTCTTCTCGACCATCGGTGCGCACGGCACGCAGCTGCAGCAGTCCACGTGGAACGTGGTGCTCTGGCAGGTAGGGAACTCCCCTCCAGCTCCCCCCCCCCCCCTCTTGAGCAAGGGGCACGAATTTTATCTCGAATCAGGTGGGCAATTGTTAGCGTGTGACGGTAGCAGCAGGTGAGTGCATTCACCACAAGAGAGCTGTGTACTGAGTGGCCCACTCTCCTATTTTTTTTGTTATTTTACAAGGTAAGGCCCACTCGGCTATGTAGCCCTTTTTTCAGAAGTGATCTGGCCACAAATGATAGCTCGACGAAGTGGCTTATCACGTGGAAATTTATGGCGGCCAAATACTGTAAACTTATGTTGATTCTAAATGTGGAGGGAAAAAACGGAGGACCTGGATAAAAATACACAAGACCACGAGGAAAACGTGCAATCTCCAAATATGAAGGCGTCAGGGTCGGGATCAAACCCACGACCTGTACACCAGGCGAGGTAGTTAACATCTCGCCACTATTTGAGTAATACCGAGGGAGAAGTGCTCGCCGTTCATTTAGTGCCGAGGAAGAAGCGTTGAGCTGTAGCAGCATACGTCACCATGGCCCCGTACAGAATCATAATCTTTATTTAGGCTGGAGAAATCCGATGAGCTATGAAGCCCAGATGTCCAGTCGGGGCTGGTCAGAATGTCCTCTCTGCCTATCGTGCAGGTGCTGTTCCCGCTGCTCGACAAGGTGCGCGAGTCAGCCAAGACGGCGGACAAGGAGAAGATCGACTCGGGAAGTGCCAACATCCTGATCCACCACTCGCGGGATACGGCCGAGAAGCAGTGGGCCGAGACCTGGGTGCTGGCGCTGGCTGGAGTAGCGCGGATCTTCAACACGCGTCGCAAGCTGCTTAAGGCGCTCAGTAAGCCTCTCTCTCGTCCCGTCACATTTCCAACTTCCGAATCGTCTGAATCAGTTTTCAACGCGGGACGAGCGCAGAGTACTGACGGGAGATTCTCCCGGTTCCCCTTCCTACAGCGGGCGACTTCTCGAAGGCGTGGAACGCCCTGCTGGACCACATCCAGGCGGCAGCATTGAGCCGCAATGGCGAGGTGTCGCTGGCGGCGCTTAAGAGCTTCCAGGAGATCCTGCAGATCGTGCCGCCCCAGGGCCGTGAGGGCGAGCGCGACGAGGGCCTTGTCTCAGCGCTCGACACTGCACAGGTTTATGGTTGTTGACAGTTCTTGTATTACCACTCTCCTTCACTTCTCCTGGTGCAGCAGTTGAATCAATGGACACGTTTCTTAAATCCTGCCCATGCCTCTGTCCACTCGGCAGTATAAATGGGTACACCTCAGTCGATCGGCAGGTCACGTGGTGGGGTAAAGTGTGGCTACTTCCAACTTTGGTAAGTCATCGTTCTCAGGTTCCTCCTTCACGATTCCATTTGGCTGTATCTTTACGGCCGGGCTGCAAAGCAGACACAAACCCCATTCTTCCAGGCTCTGGACCGGCACCTACTAATACTCAAACTTGCCATTAGTGGCTGGACTTGATGTTTATTAATATTTTTTGTGATAAAAAGCCTGTACTGCTGCATTGTAGAACCAAAAGTGGTGTAGAACTTTAGGCTGACGCTGACCCACGAATGTGAAACCAATCGAACTGTAATATGGGACCTTTCTGGCCAGTATCAAAGTATAAGAATAGGTTTTACCCTTTCTGGCAATAAAACAGTTGTGTTAAGATGTTAAAACACCAAACAGAAACCTTTTGCAAGGAATCATGTCACGTACTTGTGGTGAACATGCAGACAAAAACATGCTCTGGTAATAATATATGCACTGTCTTTGAGACTGATTGGCCTACACACCAGAGACTGCCTTCTTTATAGCCTAGTCTAACCAGTGTAAGACTGGAGAACAACGCCAAAAGGCTGCACACAGTTCAGATATCATTCGCCACTGATATTGAGCCATGCCCGGAAATGCAACTTAGGCTGCCGGTTTGCGGGTGGAATTGTGCTAACCATTTTGTAGCTGCTCACCCCGAGCTACAAATGCTCTGAGAGTGCATTATCTTTGTAATGTTCGCCTATTGGCATTCTCCGGTCTAACACTGGTTGAGACTAGGCCCTAACGAAGGCTGTCTCTGGTGTAGACCAATCAGTTTCAGAGACAGGGCATATATTATTACCAGAGCATGTTTTTGTTGTCATGGTCACCACAAGTATGTGTGGTTAATGCAGACACGATTCCTTGCCAAAGGTTTCTGTTTGGTGTTTGAACATCTTAACACCTATAGTAATAGGTTTTTACCCTTTCAACTGGTACAAAAACTGACACCTTTATACAAGGCATCATGTTTGCAATACGTATCAGTTGAAAGGGTAAAAACCTATATTACTATAGTTTGCCACTGGTAAAGGAGGTCTCATAGTGTAAATGCTTACCCCGAGCTCTCAATACTCTGATAGTGCGCTGTTTTTGAGTTGTACGCCTTTTGTCTTCATCTGGTCCAACACCAATGGAGACTAGGCTCTAAGAAAAGCTGTCTCTGGTGTGGACCAATCAACTTCAAGGACAGTGCATATCATTATCATCATCAGAGTTGTTTCCTTTTGTTTGCATTTTGACTGCTTGTGTTGTAGTTATTGCAAACATGATGCCTTGTATAAAAGTGTCAGTTTTTGTACCAGTTGAAAGGGTAAAAACCTATTACTATATTTTGCCACTGGTGAAGGAGGTCTCATAGTGTAAATCTTAACACCTATTTTAATGCCAGAAAGGGTAAAACCTACTCTCTCTTCCTAGCATTGTTCCCGCTGTGGCACAGGGTCCGCTTTTCGGCATTGTCTTCTCCATTTGGCTCGGTCCAGGGCATCTTCGGGGGATGCGTTGACCGTCTTCATGTCTTCCTTTATTCGATCCATCCATCGCTTCTTCGGACGTCCGCGTGGACGGCGGCCCTCTGGCTCAATACGCATGGCAGTCTTGGCCACTGATGACTCTGGAAAGGGTAAAACCTATTCTTATAAAATCGAACTGTATGGGCCGTCGCCAGTTGCCGGGAATGCCCCCGGCGCTCGGCCGCAGCGACTCACTGGTGGACGGTGGCGACGGGGCGGACGGGCCAAGTGGCGACGACGACGCGGAGCTGTGGTGGGCGGCGTGGCTCGCGTGGGTGCGCATCGGCGGCGAGAGCACGCAGCCCCCGTGCGACGGCGAGCGAGCCACCTTCGTGCCCGGCCAGCTGTATCTGGCGGCGCTCGTGCACATCTTCCCCGCGCTCTTTCGCCACGTGCGGCCGCGGTTTGGCATGGCGGAGATGCGGTTGCTGGGCGCGATCATGTACGGCGCCGTCTCGGTGCCCATCAGCTCGGACGTGTCGCCCTTCCTGTTGCCTTCCTTCACGGAGGCCATACTCACGGCGCTGCAGGAGGCTGTTCTCGGAGCTCTCACGCTCCTGCAGAAGGTGAGTCCCTCTCCCCATTGATTAGAAGCAGACATTTAGATTAATCAGATTATTTTTGCTGCTATACATTTTCCATGTGATAAGCCATTTTGTTCAGCTACCATTTGTGGCCAGGTCGCTTCTGAAAAATAAGTTAATAGCTCAGTGGGCTTTATCTGGTAAGATATGAATAGTTTAGTTTTGTTTGCATATTTTTGTCAAGTGATTTGTTTACCTTTCCTATACTTTGCACTCGTGGTGTGTTTCTGTATTGTTTGCTTTTGTAACGTTCCGTACCCGCCCTTGCTGGACATCTGTGAAAAACGAGCTTCATAGCTCATCGAATTCCTCAAGATGAATCTGATTTTGACCGATTAGAATCGCAATAATCGTACGTGCAATATCCTTTTGTTAATTCGCTGCTGGATGAGGGGCCCGCCCTCACACTGTGTGGATGAGTGGGGCTGCGAGCACCATCCGTGCTAAACTCTGCTTAGCTTCTGAGATCGGACAAGTTGGGTGCATTCCGGGTGATTTTGTCATAGGTGATTAAAGCATTTTTATTGTAATACAGCAGAGACGGTCCATCAGGACCAGCAAGGCCTTCTCTGCTAGCCTAGAGATTGTCAGAATCAGAAAATTATAATTTTATAATTTATATATATTTTCATTAATGTTATATGTATTTTACAAAGTTCGTTCCCATCGGTCTATTAACGTAATTTAATTTCTACTCTCTCCCTCAGTTGCGCTGCTTCCAGTGCAGCAAATAAATTAGAGCTTTTATCCAATGAGATTTTCAACCTGTGCTGTCTCCGCCTCTCCGGGTGAAAAATCTACCCCTGAGGCCTTCAAAATGTCGAGTGAATCCCCTCTTTTGTTGAAGCAATCAGATTTCGAGTTGGCCATGTTGGCCGTATTCTTTGACAAGCCACAGCCTTCTAGCTGGCCTAGCCACCTACGTTCACATTTTTAGTGTGGCGTAATCAGAGGGCCAGTTAACTAAGTTAAGTAAAACTAGGTAGCACGTAACTTAGCATCGTCTAGATTTTTAGATGTAGTGCTTGAGATTTTTTTTTTTTTTTTTACTGTGGGGAAGCCTGTTGAATCCTTATTGTGTTATTTGTATTTTACGGAATTTTTGCTTGCTTGCTGGTCATATGAGTAAATGTGACTGGTTGTTGTGAGTTTGTTCTTGTTTCTTTGGTAATGACATTGATTTGGGCTATGCGATGTCTATTTGTGATGCAGCATCTTGTCATACTGCGTAATAGTGGTACATCTTTGATGGTTTCAGTCACCATGTACTCATGTCTCTGCAATTAGTGTATTATAACTCTCATAGGTGTTGAGCCTCGTGTTAAATCACTTTATTCCACTCCATAAAGGTTACTGTCACTGAATATGGGGTGGTTACGTCGAATGACAATAGCATATAGCCCTAGTGTCATGGTCAGGTTATTCGAAGGCGGTTTTAATTGCGGGAGGATAGCACTGAAGGCCTAGGTGTAAAATACACAGCCCGCCACTGTAATACAGTCAAGGTTTTATAGCGCCACTGAAGTCATCTCCAAGGTGCTTTGCAGTTAAAGATAAAAAAGAGAAAATGTATTTAAAAGTACTAATTTATGACACGAAACATACCGATCAGGAAAGGATACAAACTTTAGTTTTTAGAAGTGATTAAAATGAAAGAAACATTGATTTGCTTAGGCCAGGGGTGGGGAACGTCCGGCCCGCGGGCCGTATGAGGCCCGCGAAATCATTTGGGTCTGGCTCTGCCAAGGCAACTGCAGGCGGGACTCGAAATTCAATAAATCTAGGAGTAAACCTGGAAATGTAGTTGCGAGTAGTAACATCAATACCAGCTAAAATCACACGCCTCACCAAAGAGAAGCAGTTCCAGTCATCCCATTAGGGGTGAGTTAATTAAATGTTTGACCAAATGTAACAGGCACATTTTTTAAGTTGATAATTTTGTATGGCCTGCGAATGATGTTATAAATATCCAAATGGCCCCTGGCAGAAAAAAGGTTCCCCACCCCTGGCTTAGGCAGTGAGTTATGTAGTTCAGGTTCATACAAAACAATGCCTTGTGTCCCCGAGATTGTAGTTAATTCGTGTGACGATTAGCAATCTGCCGTCTGGAACAAAGATTACTTAATAGGGGCATGGGGAACAATTGTTTGTAAAAGATACGGTGACATCTTGACTTGAAGCTTTCGTGACTGCAGGAACTCATTCTTTGGGTCTTTTGATGAAGTCACGGAGATCGGTAACCTATTCGAAGGGGAATAAAGATAAGGTGCTAAGCCAAGAGGTGGAAAGCCATTTAAGGCCATAAAAATGCAGTGGGAAACCTTAAGCTTCATTCTGCAGCAAACAGCAAGTGTATTGGTTTTAGTGCAAAAATAATATTGTGTAATAGATCGTTGACTTCTGCATCATTGCTGAACGAGTGGAAATGAATGAATGTCAGCACCCTCGTGCTTACATTCCACTGCGTTTAGGTTATGACACATGAATCTCTACAGTGTGAATACATTTGAAAATGCCTGGTTTTTCATTTAGATGTTTTTACCCACACCAAATTATATTCCAATTGTGCTCTTGGCACATGCCATGTAATGAGGGCATTTCCATTGAGAACTCTCATAGCGAGCAGTGCACTACGCTGCCAGCAACTTGCAGCTCAACCCTGAGGAAATGACGCTGCCCACCACCGGCCAGGAAAGAAGCCTCGTTCAACTGCGTGCCTGCGCCCACTCCACTATCATGTGAACACTATCGCCACGGCATCTCCAGCTCGCCGCTGTGCTTGAATGTGCTGGCAAACCTCGGGCACTTTGCGGGCACTCTGCGGGCACTGCTAACCAGAGTGACAGACAGACAGGCGGCGTCTTCATCGAAAGCACTTCTGACAACGTTGCTTCACTCGAGATGTTCTGGACATGTCCCAGTAATGTTTGTGGACGTCTTAAGAGAAGCTGGCCGACTTGGCTAACGTCAATAGATGTTTATTTTTTTGGGATGTACAGCAAACAAAATACAAAGCTCTTGCACCACACTGTGTCAGAGAATGTATAGTTCACAGCAGCCAATAGCAAGAATACTGGGAAGTCAAATAGTTGCTTACACTTTTACAGCAACCAAGTATAGGAAAAATATTTTATTTTACTCGACAGAATAACTTGATTCAGTAATGTTATCCAGCGCCACCGGGTGAATGTATTTTTTATATTGGAGCCCACTATTTAATGTAACTTGATGAACGTGCCTTACAGTGCAACTATATGTAATAGTCGTAGGAGTTGCTATGTCAGTTGAATATGATAACAATTTCATATTGAATTGCCCTGTGTGGAATGTAGTATGGTAGGAGCAATATTATCTTTCAAAACAATGCAGAGATGCCTTCGGGGTGAGTCACTGCAAATGCCTTTCCAAAACACGGCATTGCTGAAATCCCAGCCACAGTCACCCATGTGACCTTGTTTCTTTCCTCCAAAGACCAAATATATTTTTATTTGGTGGGAATGTTTTCTATTAAAGTATTTATGGGAATATTTTCAATTTAATAGCAGGCTTTAAAGGAAACATATGGGGTTTCTTTGGCAGTAAAAACTATAATATTAGATTTTTTTTCATGTTATGACAGTCTGCAGAAATTGAAACTGGACTAAAAGCAATACCTTCGATACATCTCTGGTTGTTCATACCACTTTGTATTAAACCGCTGATCCACCATCGGTGCCTTTTGTTGTGTGACACGCCAGGCCATCTGCACTGGTCCTGAAAGCATGCAGGCTATGTACCCGGCCATCTTCCAGCAGCTGCTCAAGTTTGTGGCGTTTGCCTGCGTACCACCGCAGTACGGCAAGCTGGAGACCAAGAACGTGGCCAACGCAAAGTACAATCAGGTGATAAGTGAGCCCATCACCTCCTCTTCATGTATTGCCTACTGTCTTGATTGACCGAGTTTTCTGTATGAATTCCTGACCAGTGATAACAATCGGTTTATTAAAAAGAGTTATTGAAAATAAATGGGTCGAACTTATTTTAGTGTCCACGATTTTTTGTTAACAGGTGGAATATGAATTACATTATGTTTACAATATAATCTAACAAATATTTGATTTTTATTGGATGTGTGACCCCTGTTTTAAATACCATAAATATATGTCGGATAATATCTATCCCATAATTATATATCTAGTTGTTTAAAGTGATATGTATTTGTGGTCATGCATCCAATTTTAGTAGAGTAGCAAGATGAATTGCTTTCAGATTTGTTTATTGTTCATTATAGTTGGCTTGCTGTCAGACATATACAGTGCTCTAAACATTGCACAGCTAAAACTAAATTGGCACAGGTTTTAATATGACTGGCGTTTGCTGTTTGCGAGCTATATTTAGTATGTGTTGTTAAGGTCAAACCATGTGTAACCACCCCTGGAGATGTTGATTTTTGCAGCATTATTCACGAACAACAGTTAAACATCTGCGTTGTCCAATAATCTAAAATGCAGTTTGGACAATGAAGCACATTCTTAGTAAAACTGAAATCACTAACGATTCATGTTGTTATTGTTCCTCTATGCTGCAATTCTGGACTGCTAGGTCCAACTGTTTGCCCCGGTGAGTTGATCTTGAGGGTTCGTGTTGGTGCATATTTTTGGGATGATCACAGAAATGGGACTATGGCCACGCATGCTTTGGGAAGTTATGATGTGGTGATTGGGTCTCTGTGTTTGACCTTTGCACGTGGTTGTCAAGGTTTTCATGGGCTCTAAAATTTAAATTTACAATAGTTTTTTTTCCCCCCACCGAACAAGTATCCAGGACTACACAAACAGTGCTTAGTTAACACCGAATGTATTAATGAGTATACTTTTTGTTGCAATAAATTGTAGCTTGGCTGACACCAAGTTAAAATAATTGGATATATTAACGTAAAATTGCCTCTGGGGCAGATAACACTGGTTTAATGAGTAAAATGTAGCTTATGTCCTGAATACTAACTTTGTAGGTGGAATTTGAAAATCGTATGTATGGTTTTAGTTGTTGGATTTTTGTTTACATTCATGATGTATTTTATGGTTTCTGCTGACTTAATGTATAATGTATATAGCCATAATGTATCTGTAAAAGTGTGTCTTGCTTTCGTGTTCTGTGTGAATTCAGGACTGACAGTTATATTCATTCCCGAATAAGCAAGCGATTAGCAATGCTTTGCCCCGTAGATAAAGTGTAGCTATTGACGCCTTTACGTACGTCATACAACTTGTATTAAGAACATAAGGTAGTAAAACTGGAAAACCAGGGTTTGGCACTTGGGACTCCTGCTGGGGTGGAGTTAGGTTACGGCACAGACTTTAGAATCATAAACACACCCAGCTAACATTTTACATGTGCTTAATTTTCATTCTTATTGCTACGCGACATATTCCCCCCTGTCAGCACCCTTTGCTCTGTTTGACCTTTGGTGTGTTCTCCTGTACACTCGGTGTTAACGCAACTGATGCGCGCTCCGCAGCGTTTTCGGCGTGCCTTTCTCGTTGGCTCCCCTGTTCACGTGCGCTATGCCTTTTTGCCAGTGTGCGCGTGCGCGTACGTGTCTTCTTGGACGTCTGTGTGGTTCCGCGCGTCCGCCGCACGTGCGACGCTCCTAGGCGGAGTGGGTGGCCATGAACTATGTCCCGTTTGCGGAGCGCGCCCTGGAGCTGGTGGTCGAGCTGTACCAGAAGACGGCGTGCCACAAGGCGGTGGTCAACGAGAATGTCCTGCAGGAGATCATCAAGGTGCTCGATAGGGGTGTGGGGGTGTTGGTGGTGGCAGGGGGAGTGAGTGTCTCCTTGTGTGTGGCGGTGCAGGGAGTGTCAAGCAGGCCACACGCTGCTCCAAAAGTGTACAAAAATAAATGTAGGAGTAGCATGCGGATGAAATTAAAACAAAAATGAATGCAAGCCTTGCATTATCCCTCGTGAGTGTTATGAGCACCAAAGGCGGTCTCTGGGCCTTCGAGTACAATGTGACGTCGAAGCGGATCCAAGCACCATTGGATGCACATGCTTTTGAAAACTTTTAATTAGCTTGAAGTGTCACATTTCACTTAGGTTTTTACACTACACACTATAGCTCTTCATTTATTTATAATTCCATCTTGATTATGCACTCTGCTTTGTATGTATATGTGTTGAACTTCTTTCGCATTGCACGTAGCCAACTGTGCCATATTTTTATACAAATGTAGGTGCATAGAAATTTCAATCTTGTTTTTACGCAAGAGAGACATGGTACAAGCAAATGATCATGAAAAGATGTCTTCAAACACAACAGTTAGAGCTATGCCACCCCAATCACGCCACAACATCAATTCTATAGGGTCACTCCATACCACACCGTCATGACATACAATTAAGCAACACTATGACCACACAATTTTCGCCATACAGTATCGCATATAGATACTGCTCATGCATGAACTTGAAGCTTCCACTTCTCAGATGGAAAGAGCGTAACGTGGGGCAGTCACATGATCTATCTCTGCGATCTGATTGGAAGTTGTCATCTCGGTTGCCCACCGCGATAATTTTTCTTCAGATTTTGTGCAATGAGATATTTTGACAACAAAAGATTCTGGGGCAACCATTGCCGGTGACAATTGGATCCATGGTCTTAAGGTGCACTGGTATTGTGCAGACGCTGCGAGTGCCACTAAGCATGAAGTACACGTGCCCGTCGGAGAGTACCTGGCGGCTGGCGGTGACGTCGTTGCTGCGCGTGCTGGCCGTGGGGCTGCCAGTCGCTCGGCAGCATGCCTCCTCTGGAAAGTTTGACGCCATGTGGAGCGAGCTGGCCGCAACCTTCCAGGACTTCCTCTTCACCAACAGGTGGACCAGCTCTACAGAGACATATATATATGGTGCCACCGTGGCAATATGTTAACTATCTCGCCTGGTATACAGGTCGTTGGTTCGATCCCGACCCTGACGCCTGCATAGTTAGAGTTTGCATGTTCTCCCCATGGTCCTGTGGATTTTTCTACAGGTCCTCCAGTTTTTCCCTCAACATTTAGAAACATACACGTTGAGAGTATTTGGCTGATATAAATATCCACATCTTAAGCCACTTGATTGAGATATTTTTTGCCAGGTCACTTCTAGAAAAGAGCTATATAGTTCAGTGGACCTTACCTGGTGAAATTTTTTTACAAAAAGAATGAGTTAAATATTTTTTTGCCAATATCTCGACTACAAGTTCAGTGTACCAAGCTTTAAATCAGGCACTTCGTCTGTAATTGAAATGATCTAAAAATACCAAATTTTTCTGAAAACACGTAGAAATTGTCCGCAAATAATCCTTAAATATGTATATATCGATTCGTGCATGTGCATTTATGCTAACTGCCATTCCATAACAACACACCACACAGAAAAGAGGTGAAACAATGCAAACAGGATGCTAAAATTGCATCGTAAAATAAAAAAAAATGTAATCGAAACGCAGCCCTTAATAGTGGCATGACTAGCTTTGGGGTCATTGCATCGCTGGGCGTGAATCGCTTACTGATAACAACCCCACCCAAACCGACCACACTTGACCCTTTTCACACCCCTCAAAGAATAATACAATCTCATGAACCTCACTCCCCTTTCCCCATTATATTTAAGACTTTCTCATTGTAAACAATAATCTTGCCGACGAATGCCCACCAGCTGATACATGACCATCTGTTTATTCAGCACTCCACCGGAAAACCTATCTTTGCAAGAGTTTCAGAAGAATGAAAGCATTGACGTTCAGGTTTGCTGCTTCAATTATTTATGGTCTAATTCATGGATAACTTAAACAATTACTCCCACAGCTGGAAGTTTACTGACTCTAATCACGTGTACTCTTAATTTAAAATAAAAATGTGCATTTGACTAAATAGTATTGAATAACGTTAATACATTATTGATTCCAGTCCACGTAATTTTTCTTCCACAATACCACCAGCTGTCATCTACTGGTATTAATGCTAATTGGTGTGCATGTGTACATTGGTTCTAACGCCGGTTGACACAAATGAAAACTGCTGTGTTCATTGATGCATCTGTAACAGGTCTGTTATACGGCCCTAATGAATGCCTTCTGCCACTGTGCACTGTGCTGGAGACGGATGCTTGATTGCCAGGCTGCTGCTCGTTTCAGGTGGTGCAGCTCATCGGCACAGACATTCTACCCCACGCGCTCTTCATCCCTAAGGAATTTGTCAACCAGATAATGAGCATGCTTAACAAAGGCTCCATCCACTCACAGTCCACCTCCTTCACCGGTACTGCATTGCCTTATTACACTGCCCCGATACATTACACTATGTAACACAATTTTTGTTCCTGGGTAGTAAGTGTTATTTCGTAATTTCTTCTGCCTAAAAAGTATAGTAAGTGGCTATTATTCCCCACAAAGTTTGCTTTTGTGGCCAGGACAGTAATATTTTTTTAAATGTACCTATTTTCAATGAGAAAAGTGTTGTTTCGTTCACATAAAGTCAGAAAAAACAACATGAACATGTATTTATACTAAAGTAATACAAAAATGACTACAAAAGATTTAGACACCAAGGTGCACTACCACAGGCGGGACTGACCATAGCAGACCAAGTTTTCTGTGGGGAGGAACAACGTCAAGTGGGAGCCTCTGGGAAATTGTGGATACTCTCACCTCTGCCATGACGTCTGGCCAGCATGCACGAGTAGGCCAAATACCCTCTAGAATGTCTCCCCAGGGTTCCCTCTCGTGGAGTCCTTTCCACCAGCGGTGGAAATGGCTTGGAGTGGCCTTTCTCCAGTAGTGGAGAGATCGTGGCCGGAGATGATGACGACATTAAGCAGTGGGAAAAAAATTGGCCACAGTTGCAGGGTCATGGCCGTTTATCAGGTCACCGTTGTGAGTCAAATGCAGGTTTTTTTTGTGACGTCATCCAGAGACTTTTGCGGTTCAGTCTGATGGTGTAGGATTTAATCTTGTATAATATTGGGTGCTATGTAAGTGACTAATTGCCTGTATGATATCACTTTAAAAAAATAAGTCAAAATGTAGTGAATGTAATTTTGTTCAAATAACTCAAACAAAACATTTCATAAATCACATTTGCTTGCTGTGTCAATTATATTGCCTTTAAATGTTAATGAAGGGCACCGCAATTGTTTCACCATTTGATGCAAGAACATAGCACAGTTAACCCTGAGACATAGGAAGAAACAATGATTTTGTGCACATACAACTGTGGCTGTCGTTGTTTTTGTGACATTGCCGGCGTGCAGAGGCGGAGGTTAGCTACCGCATGCGCGAGGAGTTCTCCAAGGTGTGCTTCGAGACGCTGCTGCAGTTCTCGCTCAGCGGCAAGGCGACGAGTGCACAGGAGGGCTACATCTCGCGCATGGCGCTCGCCGCGCTGCTACAGCGAGCGCAGCAGGTGCTCGCCAAGTACGTGGAGGACGAGCGACTCAGCGGCTCCTGTCCCCTGCCCAGGTGCGCCGCTCCGGAGAGCGTACATCACGCGCGCGTACGCCAGTCATAGTCGCGGTGGCAATACACCAGTGTTCTTCACTAATTTTCAGGGTGGGGGGGGGGCACTTTTGCCGATAAGACATCAGTGTGAGGGCCGTGACACATGATGCGGCGTTTTCACATCTGTGTATTTGTCGGGGCCGCAGGTCAAGGGCCGCACTAAAGGCCACCAGAGGCCGCCAGTGGCCTGCGGGCCTTGCAATGAAGGACACTGCAATACACCGTTGTATAATCCAGCCCCTTGGAGGGGATAGAATCGGGTTTCCTTCCACGTGATGTAATAACCGAGAAATTGGCCACTATCACAAATCCGGCCTTATGACCAAATCGCTCAGAATGTGCCTGCTTCTCATTAGATCTTGGAAGCTAAGCAGAGTTGAGCTGGGGATAGTGCTTGGATGGGGCAATCGCCGTGCATAAAACTTGCCGCTTGTAGACTGCCGCGTGGCTACGTTATGGGCAGCAGAGGGCATAAGAATGATGTATTGTACTATGCATCCACATCTGTACTGCCTGCCAGAACTAACCCACACTGACCAGCGTGGTGAAGTATGGTCAAATAACTACCATGACCTCCCCTGGCATTGGGAGACACTCATCCAGCAGCGGAATGAGACAGTCTGTACATACACATAAATAGGACCCTTTTCGAAAATAATAAATAATAAATCACGTTTCGATCGCAACACAAGCAATCCGTCATCGGGTAGAAAGATAGAGCAGTAGAACTGCTGAACAAGGTTTGTTTCTGGATGTGTCGTGGAATGTTCACGACGTTATGTTGTTTGATACAGTGTGTGGTATCCTTTGCGCCCCAGTTTTGCCGCAACCACTGTTTTATTTTCACGTCTATGCTCGAGTCACCTTCACCTGTCCAATTCACTTTCACGGGAACAATTTTTTTACAGCTGCTGTTACAGCCGGCATCTCTGTGATTGTAAGGTTATATTTGTAAAACTCATTGCAATTACGAGGAACACAATTTTCTTCGCTCTGTGTTGTTGAAAGTTAGTTGATCGGTTTTCTCCTTTGGTTTCACAGGCAGAGGATAACAGAAGTAGTTTTTGTATTAAAAGCAACAAGTACACTAATGGATTCGTTGAAAAAGACTCGACCGGAAAATGGTGAGTTTTGCTTCACTTCTTTTGCAGCCCCAATGCAGGCGTGGGCGTTTAAAGTAACCGCGATGACGAGCTATTTTTATGCTATGAAAAGGCTCCTTTGTTATTCTTTCCACTCTGCCACTGTTATCAGTGTCTACCATAGAAGAATATATGGGCGAAACCCGGGTTGATGGCGTTAGTGAATGTCTGTGTGCTCTGTTTGATTTGGCACGCTGCATGACAGGGATATCTTTTTATATACGCGTTGCCTGCAAACAACAAATATCATAAATATGCTGTTTATGACCGCTAATTAAATGGGAAAGCAAACATTTGTATTTTATATATTAAAAAAAAGTTGTGAATGTTTTGGTTTCAATGTCAAGACACATTTAAACAATCTTAGCCCACAGAGTGTATCATCTTAAAAAACCCTTGTGTAAACAACAAGTGGCACACACGTGGTCTTTTAGGAGTTATATTTAGCAGGCTTTTAAAATGTCCTGGGCTTTGAAATGTTCCATACAGCTGCTGGTTGTTTCTCTTCAGGACTTGAAATGTTGTGATGTACACCACACGTCACAGATTTTGAAATTTTCTATCCCCGAGCATTGCAGGTAATACGGGATGTGCTGGTTATGCAGCATAGTGACTGCAGTGTTGGAGGTTCATAAATTATTGACTCACACAACACTACATTTTTATTTAAAGCTTTCGTGACTGCAGGGATTCATAATCTTGGTTCTTTCGGTAAAGTCACATAGAAGGGAAACAATAAAATAATAAAAATATTAAACAATAAAATTCTCACGTTTCGACTGCAACACAAGCAAGGAAATGTGAAAAAAACATTTGCTGTGGATTTCACACCTGATGATGATTGCTTGTGTTGCAGTCAAAACGTCGTGAGAATTTTATTGTTTTATATTTTTATTATTTCATTGTTTCCCTTCTACATGACTTTACCGAAAGAACCAAGAATATGCACACAACACTGTTATGTTTATCGTTTGAATTGTACGCAAACGTGTACTTGTGTGCTGTTTACCTGGGCCACTTAAACACATCAATGCATGGCGATGACATTTTTATTGTCATTAGCGCATGGGAGGGTTGACAGGAAATCCTGTGAGGCCATGTGCATGCGGGCGTCATATTAAGTCGGTCATTTTTTTGACTCTGCACTCTCTTATTGGCGTTTTTTTTTTGCACAACCCCCTCTTGTTTTTACAGTGGACATGAGCATGTGGGAGCAGGTGATAGCGCTGTACCCGACGCTGGTCGCGTGCGTGTCGTGCACGTGTCCGGATGTGTGCCTGGCCCTCCAAGAGGCCATGCATCCTTTCCAAGACATGCTGCGGCCACCACCCTGCAAGCTGCAGAACGGAACCTCGTGATTGGAACGCAAGGCTCCGCGTGCACTACACACAATAGCACTGCAGTCACCGCGCCGGTCCGGTGCTGCGATTCCGTGCAACGCCACCACGCCCTGCGCTCACTGCTGTAGCCGCACGTCACCAGGCCCGTTTAGGAAAAAAAAAATCCACGTCTTAACTCGCCCACGCTCCTTCCGTTTGCGACTCAACTGACCAGGCTGTAACCACCAGCGTCTGTGCCGCATGACGTGATTCAGCCCATTCCAAGCAGAGTCACACTACGCTGTGATGCACTGTCAAAGAGATACAACAATAATCTGGCTGCAGTAAGGTGCATACACCGCACACATGTGGCACATTTGAGGTCACAGTGGGGAAAATGGTGGTGGGGGGGGGGATGCCAAAGGACTTCTTTCGAAATCTTTATTCATGAAGCGCCTGAGCCGGTTTACACATTCGGGAGTCTCATTTTGTGTCTTTATCAGACGGAACCGTAATGTCGAGCAGGCTGTTGCTGGGGTTCATCCAAGCTGGCTCAAAAGTAACTAAAAAAACATGTTAGGGAGTATTTTTGTGTGCAATCTCCACATTGTCCTCTTTCAATCCAGTTAATTCGATGATACATAATGGCTGTATCATGCCTTGTGTTCAAAACGTCTTATTTAATGGCATAATTTCCATTAAGGTTTTTATACAATCGGTTGTGTTTTGAGAGTACAAGGTTAATTAACATAACCGCTTGTGTAAAACCTTACATTGCTCAAGGCTTTTTTTATACAGGTGGTTGTCTTTTCACAGTGCAAGCTCAATCAGAAGTCGAGCAGATTGAGGGTGGGTGAGAGGCAGGGGAATGCTGACTTCAAGTCAGTAGTGACACTGGTGTTGGGTATGGGAAAAGAGCACTACAGTTTTGTTTTTATAAATAGTAGTTAACTACCAAATGACTAGAATTTAAAGGTTGGGGCGTGATAAGTGCTCCAACCAGCTGGTACTTGGTGCCCATTGCAGCTGGTTTAGCTGGTTTGTTAATGTTGGTCTATTTGAATGGTGTTAATACAGTATTAGGCTGATGTGGAAAAAGCCAGTTACTGTAATTGTATATTAAAGCAAGTACAGTTGTCTGTGTGTCTATCATTAAATGTATTTTGACTGTCAATTGAATGTGCTTGGAAAACAATTTTGTTTACCACATTTTCAGCAAGGTGCATCAGTTTCATCGTTTGTAAAGTCTGAAATTTTGTATTATGGCCTTGCTTTTGTGTTATTGTGCCAAGATCAAATTAATTTGAAGTCAAAACAGTGGAGTGTGCTTCATTTGAAAGTGTGATACACTTAATAGCAGGGTTGTGCTGCAAGAATGGTCAAAAGGACTTGCTAATTACATAAAATGTGATTTCCTTACCATGCAGCAATGCACAACGTCCATGCTATTTTGTGCATATTGGGTTTTGCTCGTGCATGTACATCTCCAACTTGGGACAAATATTGTTTTAAAATACACTTAAATACAACCAATACCACAGTACTCAATGATGTTCAATACAATACAGTATTGGAATGTTTATTTGATAACAATGCAAAGCCCATGAAACATTGATATTACATACAACAGTAGTTAATAAAAGTGACACTGTTTAGTGGTGATGCACCAATTGCACTAACTTACCTTCATTAAACCCACAATCCAATGTACATTTGAATTTGGTTTCAAATTAACCAAGGACCGACTTGTCATTTCGATGCAGAATACAGTGGGGTTGCATTTGTGATTTTTAATGGAGTGGTCACCTTGAACACAGTAGTAGTTCTAAAAACACAACTACATGTGAAGTCAACAGCACCCGAACTGAAACCCATAACAAAAAGAGAACCATCTCCAAAAGCAATGTTTACACTGCTAAGTAATCACGTGGACGAGAACATGTTGGTTTTCCATACTGCGCCCATCCACATGCCCCTTCTTCCAAGACAGGCCAATGCCATTGTGCCCTCACCCAGGAATAAAAAGAATTACAGGTCAATTTATGGGCCTATTTACCCAGACATTTGTCTTAAATTGCATTTATTGTCACTTTGGTTGCCATATTTAGTGTTTGGGAATAGGTTGGCCGCTATTAGGACCAACATAACCATCCAAATATACTAAGGAGACTACATCAATACACTACGCTATATGTCGCAGTTATCTGGCTTGACCACCTGAATGTGAAATTGCAGTTGTTGCTCTGCATCAGCCACACGAAAGAAGACGATCAGGACCTCGGCAGAGAGCAGTGCGGGTGGTCTCAATCTTACCACCACTTAGGGACAGTCACAGGATGGAGGACTGCACAATACAGCACAACAGAGAAGAGGCCCCCCTCCCCCGTAAAATTTGACTGGAAGAAGATGTGGGCCCCACCAGGAAGACTTAAGTTGAAACTGCAAAGGATTCCAGAAGGCCTTGAACCAAAAGAGCAGACTAGAACTTGCCATGGGGGCTGGTCCAAAGCAGCAGCTTGGAACCAGCACATGGCAACACCTTCATCTGCCTCATAAAAAGGGAATGCGTTGACCGCTTCCAATGAAAACCCATGCTTAACGTAAATAACAAAAGCCCCTTCTTTAGACAACTTTTAACACGAGTTACGAAATTCGTTATGCGTGTGTAATATATTCGCCACGTATAGTGTACTGATTTTGATTTACGAAGAAAAAAGGCAACTTAAGCAACAGTTTACAAGAGCCGGCAACCGCCTGTCTTGCAGACTGGCAGGGTAGCCCTGGCGGCCATCTTAAAGACCTCACGCACGCCATCCTTGGTCTTGGCCGAGCACTCCATGTAGCCGAAGGCATTTATCCGGTTGGCCATGTCTCTTCCGTCCTTCCCCCTCACCGGCTTCTGCACAAGACAATCCTAGTGAACAGTGATGCTAAGGACTCTGAAAATGACTCAAACCATTATCAGCCTTGTTCCCACAGTAAAATTTAAACCGCTCATTAATCGTCCAAGACAAAACATTTTAATAGTTATTGTAAATGGGCACCTCGCCTGTTTCATCTTGGCAAGCTCACGCTTCGTGTTGTCGTCATTGCGCAGGTCCTTCTTATTTCCCACCAGGATGATTGGCACATTTGGGCAGAAATGTTTCACCTCTGGGGTCCACTTCTCAGGAATGTTGTCTAAAGGAACATTGAGAATGCAGGCTCAATACAAATATCCGTCTTCACAGTAGACAATGCCTTTTACCTGAATGTATGCGTGTCGCTAATTAAGCAAATATATTCATGTTTAACAATTGACACAATGCAGTGTCTTGGGGTTTGAGCTCCAACTGTCCTCGATTGAAGGTCCCAATCTAAAAATGTATCCATTTAAATAAATATATCATGGTGATCCCAATACATGCGTTACATCATGCAAATGAGAATCGATCATGGACAATTCCTACATCATATGTGGCTCGCATGATTCCTGCAGCCATGATATGATCTACATTGAAACCCCCACATTGTGATACTTCGCGTCATCTCAAGAGAAGAATTATTACATGCTTCCTGTTAACGCTTCCTTTTCAATGTATTTTGAACACTTTTTTTTTCTTCCTGCAATGGTTGTACAGGATTTCCCCACATGTCTGTGGGGATGCACGTACCCAGGTTGTCTGGACTCTGTTATTTAGAAATAAGGTACAAAGTTGTGTTTACGAACAGTCAGAAGGCATGATTCCCATCATGTCCTATATGCATGTCATGTGACCACCACACTGCATGTATAGCACACAATGCTGTTAGCATTGTCTAAACTACTAGCTCAAGGGAAGTGAATGTGTGGCCGTATTCTTGTTTTAGACTACCAACTAATGAGTTGAAAACGTGGCCATCCCATTCGACAAAGCTGAGAGCATTTCATATGGAGTGGTCACATGACATGTGTACATGCAATACATGGTGGCAGTCGTGTCATCCTGCTGTTTGTCAGATGCATACCTTTGTGTGTTGTTATTTTTCCTTGTTTACTGCCAGCACACGTTACCGTTGTGATGTGTTTTTTTCTCAACATTTACAGGGAGTTTTATATTTGAAGCCCTGTTATTTTTATCATTGCGTGGCTTTGCCAAGGGCTTGAGCGGTCATACCCAGGCTGTCAGGACTGTCGATGGAGAAGCACATGAGGATGACGTCGGCGTCCGGGTAGGAGAGCGGTCGCAGGCGGTCGTAGTCCTCCTGTCCGGCCGTGTCCCACAGCGCCAGCGCCACCTGCTCACAGGCAGTCATGCTTCAACTCCCCTCTCCTCCCACCTGAATTTAAGAGCACTAGAGCCACTTATAAAATTAGATAAAATATTGCCAATTTAAAGGTGAGCTTAAAGTAAATTTAGAGAAATGTTTTTTCTAACTACATTACTTTACCGAAAGAACCAAAGAGTATGTTCTAGAAGGGCTATGAAGCTGAAATTTAGAACAGGATAGTCAAATGCATTATAGAAAATAGATTTTAAAAAATCAACTCTATTAAATGTGATATTCCAAATGTTAGTCACTCACAATCTGATAATGAAAACATCACTCTTAAGCTAGTTAGCCTAAAATTCTAAATGTAATTCTCACAACAATCCATCTATCATTAATGCACCAATTCATTTCCTCCTATTTGGCTTGATAAAGTAGGACAACTCCATGAGCGGTTACAAGTTATAGATGCAGACAAATATTTTTGGGACGTACTTATTTCCATTAATATATACAGTGCATGTTTACTATTATACTAAAACGTACAGATGAAGTCGTTGTGAACCACATTTGCTCCCACCTGCTTGCCATCTACTTCGATATCGGCCACGTAGCTTTCAAACACAGTTGGCACGTAGACTTCGGGAAACTGATCTTTGCTGAACACGCTGAGAAGGCAGGTCTTTCCGCAGGCTCCATCCCCGACAATGACCAGCTTTTTCCTTATGACTTCCATCTGAGAAGGCAACATAACGAGTAATTTAAGTAGACAAACACTTCAACGTAGGATAAGTGTCACAACTTTATGCACTGCTGTCGGTGTACTAGTATTTTACAACTAGTCAGTGGTCCAGATAGACCTTTCAATTAGATCTGGCCACCTTTAAAGACGTACTTGTCAACCCTTAATCAGTGCCTACGTTATTACAGACCAATTCAAACCTTATTGGTCACCCGGTGCCCTTATAAATCCCATCGCAAGAGAGAAAGACAAACAAAGACAAAAAATTTGAAACGGCTGTATGCGGTATGGACCTGAAAACGCAATTTCCCTGGACAAGAATACGGGTACACTGGGTTAGCAGGTATGTAAAGATAATGGCAGCTCCACAGGATTTGAGACCCGCTGCACCTCAGTTGAGCTGACTTGAAACAAGTAAACCCGTAAAAACAAAGTTTTTCACTATAAATCCTTTATATGCGTGGCAGCGAACTTAATATAAAGGATTTAAAAATATATTCGCCTGTGGAGGACGCGGGGATCGATCCCACGACCTTTGGCATGGGAAGCGAGGGCGCTACCAACTGCGCTACTCCGCCACGGCCTGTGGAGGGGTTACGCTCTGGGCTCTTATACTGTGACGTTCAGCCAAAGCGATGAATGAGTTATATTTGAATATATGTAAAATAATTTTTTTTTGCCTAAAAAGTGTAAAATTTTGGGAATTTTTTTTCACGAACATTAATTGTCTGGCACAACGAGTCTGTGTGGAAAATGTCAGCTCGATTGGATTACACAACAAGAGACCCAACTTTTGTACAGCTGTCACTACCATTTGCTTCTTTAGATCCCGTCTTTTGTTTGCAAGCTGTGATTTTGGCTACCCAACACAAACGTTTTACTCTCGTTTGGCTCTCATTTGGTTTTAATGTTATCTACCTCCAACAGGCAAGTCGGAATAGCTCGTCACACATATACATACACTCCCACATAACTTGTTTAAACATTACCACCATCATCACTATCAATAGCATCACCACCAGCATCAATAACGTCATTCATTATCACCACCACCATGTATATCACTATCAGCAGCATCAATAACATCACCATTCTCGTCAATGACATAACCACCATTATAAAAAGTAAACCATTTTTATGTTTCCATGTAAGGGCCATGGAGCTATACAGCTCTTTTTTATAAGCGACCTGCCCACAAATGA